GCTTTCGTGGACTACAGCCCACTTCTTCGGATGCATATATGAAGTGGGCTGTAGTCCACAAAAGCTTATGCTCTAATAAATTTGTTAGTCTCTAAGGTGCCACAAGTACTCCTGTTCTTCTTTTTGCGGATACAGACTAACACGGCTGCTACTCTGAAACCTGGTAAATTAAAATAATTATATAAATGTGCACTTCTCAAACACTGAATAATCCTCATGCCACCTCTTATAGGGAGTTAGTATTTTAATCCCTCTTTTGGAGATGGAGGAAACTGAGGCTTATAGGTAATTTGCCCAAGTTCACAAAGGGAGAATTTTTGGCACAGCTGGGAATAGACTTCACATCCTCAGACTCCTAGTCCTGTGCTGTTACCACTACACAGTGCTTACTCATGGGATAAATTAGAAATTATACTGTTGAATTTTATGAAAAAAATCTTTGAGGAACTGAAAATCAATTTCCATTAACAACTGCCTCCTCCCCAGGCCCATCCAAATATTTATTATTCTTGACTATTTGTACGTGAGGAGCTCTGGAACCACAATAGACAAGTTCTGTAAGATGTATGACCTTAGATGTCTACATGCCCTGTACTGTATGTGGATGGAATTGAATGAGCAGAATTTGTCAATATGAGTATGTGAATTATGAATGACAAAATGAAATTAATCTTTCTTTCCTGATTAAATTTGTCAGTTTCCATACCTTGCCCATGTATCAGCTTGCTTTTTTAGGATTCAATTCAATTAATAAATTGGCCTTCTGAAGCTCCCTACCTATTTCTGTGTTCTGTAGATCTTCTGTGTCCATATTCAACATTCTGCATTGAATGCAGAGCCTGTGACACAGTTTAGTCCAATAGATATACAGTCCAACCAAAACTCTAGATTAAGTAAAGCTCAGTTATGGCCCCTCAAATGCTCTCTAAGGATAAGCATTAACCAAAAGAAATTGTGTGGCCTCTTCAGCATAAAAGGCCACTGCTCAGGGTGTGAAACTTGGCTCCTTTTCAGGCCAGCTGATTCAACAAGAATTCAGCCAACCAGTAGAAGACAATTCATAAATAAAATATTTTTTTCTTTTACAACGTGCCAACTTGTGAAAAGTGGCAGAGCCAGTTGGTAGGAGGTGAGCTTAATATCCAAGATATTTTTAACCTTGATGCATGACTGCTCAGTGACCATAGTGGTCCCTGGGAGTAAATTTATCTCAAAGCTGGAATAACTGTTCTGTGTTGTAATAGGCTGGGGGAGAAGGGTTAGACAACCTACCTTCTGAAGAAGCTATATGCCTATCAGTTATAAGTATATTACCGCCTCCTACCCTAGGGCAGTTAAAGTAAGGTCTGGAGCATATACAGCTCTCCTAGGCTGCTGAGGTAAACACATCAAATGGTAAAGAGCTTAATGAGACAATGGTCCAGGGACTTTTGTTTATATGGTGGTGGTGGGGCAGGAATTAGGAAATCAAAAGTGCCATGGAGGAAATGAAATCCTCTTTTTGCAGCTCTGTAGTGGGATAATGTAATTTAAATTTTTGAGTCTTTCAGAGAACCAGCTGCCAATCCCATTCCTTCATTTGTGGTTCCTCCAAGCAATTACTCCTTCCTAATACTGGAGCAAGTCCCAGGGATGTGAAATTTACTATGGGCAAAAACACGAGTGAACTGAACATTGCAGGCTATGGTAGATCTAACTTTCTATTCCATCTGCTAATTGGTTCCACAGCTTGGAGCTAAATACTGGGAACTATATATATAGATATTGCAAGCCAGTGATTACTGGTGGAATCAACCAATCGAGTGAGGAACCCATTTTCATTCCTTTTACATTATGGACACATGAGAACTGGGCATGCACTGTACAAAAGCACTTGAAAACTTTCATCTGACCAAAATCTGTGAATCTGCTTTGATTTTGTGAACATTTGCAAAATTTGGCTTGTGAGAATATTTGCGGAAAGAAAACATTTGGGTTGAAATCCTGGCCCCAGTGAAGTAAATGGTAAAACTCCTATTGATTTCATGGGGCTGGGATTTCATCCTTTCTGAATACTCATGTGGCTATGAATTCCCATGATGGAAGTATTCATGTAGCCATCTTGAAAGCTCTTTGAGATTGGAAGTCATTCAGTCAGGGACTGGAAACAGTAGTATGTGACGTAAGTGGCCACTTAAACGGCAGGAATAGTGTGTCAGGATAGTCAAACTTGGATACTTGCATATGTGCCTCAATTACTTTTAAGTTTTAAATAAGGTTCAAATGATTTTTTAATCATAGTTACTGACTTTTCTAAAACTGCAACTCAGCCTTCCAAAATAGTAATAAAAATGTATACTTGTTGAATATCAGAGGGGTAGCCGTAGTCTTTAGGGTGCCACCGGACTCCTCGTTACACTTGTTGAAGACTCAGTCCTGCAAACATCTGGGTAACTTTGACATCAGTGGAATTACTCAGATGAGTAAGGTTACTCATGTTCTTAAGTGCACAACATCTATTGCTTGTCCTTACCATGACAATGATAATGAAAATATGAATGATATTTTACTCCATCAGCAAAAGTTAAAACTCTAGGTCAATGAGAGAGAGAGTAGAATTTGGAAGATCACTGTTAAGTCAGAAGGTAACGTTATAGTCTTTCATCGGGATAAAGGCAGAATAAACAAAATTACCTTTCTCCAGCTTTGTGACATGTGTCACACGCACACCCATCTCTAACATATCAAAACAAAATGGGTTCAGTCAAAATTGTTCTGACAAATCTTTAAACATTGTTTGTACATTCATTTGCCTTGTGATTCTGAAAATTAAATTAAGAGTGATACAAGACAAATAGAGAATTACACCATGTGCTGTAAAACATATTGAACATTTCTTGTTTACATTGTACTGCTTAAGCACTGGCTGTGAAAGAGCATGTGGTAATGGGTGAAAAGGCACAGTGGATTAAATGGGAAAGGCACGCTCTTATCTATTTGAGCTTTAGACTTGTTGAAATTCAGGCACCTTAGATTGATAAAGATCTAGAAAGATCAAACATAATGGGGATTTCTAATAGTGAATTTTTTAAATATCCAAGAGATGGAAATTATTTTAAAATATCACAAAAGCTGATTTTATATCTATAAGAGCTATACAAAGTCTCATAACAATATGAGATCATTTATTTTAGGGAAATTTGCCAAAGGTGAGCTGCTTCCTTAAAAGAAAATGAGAAATTGCATCATTCCCTGCTTCAACTATCAAAACAAATTCTTGTCAAGTCCATTTTAAACTAAAATAGCTGTCCTGAACCTGTAAAATATATTTAAATATAGTTATTGGAGGGATGAGATTGTAGAGGGGAGTTATTGAAAGGTTTTGTGCTTTGCTGACCATGTATATTTTTGGCAGATAATCCTTACCACCTTGGATGTAAACTTTATTTCAAACAAAAAACATCCTTAAATCTTTGAAAGTGAGTTTCCGTGGCATCCAGCTAGCCTCTACCCCCCGCCCCCCATTACGCTTTCTTTTCTAAAAGACTACATCTTAAAAAACTCAAAGTCCCAAAAAATCAAGATGGCAGCAAGCATATTACTACCCAACCTACTTGGGACCTCTGGGCTCTGTCTGACATCACTATGAATAAAATAAAAGACTAGAAATGAACAGCAAAACCACTTAAAATTCTCACTTACTTTCACCCACCCGCCTGAGGCCACATACTTTAAGAGCAAAAGTGCTCCTGGAGAGAGGGGTGGCTTGGAGGAGAGGATTGAAGGTTGAGAGAAAAGACACTTGGTGACTAGGAAGTAGGTTATTCTCAAAGGAAGGGGGTGTCATTAATGAAGGCACAGAGCATTGGGTGGGTAATCATTCAGTAAGGTACTTATGCACATGCCTAACTTGAAACCAATGGGATTACTCACTGGCTTAAAGTTCAGCATGTGCTTATGTACCCTGATGAATCCTGGCTAAAACTAAGAGCAAGAGCAGAGGTGATGAACTATGAAGAAAGGATTAGGAAGAGTTTAGGGAGTAGGAGGTAGGAAAAATGAGTGGAGCTGGGTAGATGGGGTGAGATTATGGTCCCTTGAAAGTGAGAACAGAAGGAGGCTTGCCAAGATCTGATCACCAGTATAAAGCTAACCAACATTTATCATCCCCTTGCCCCCTCTTTAGGATTTCTGTCCCTGAGTCATGGCAGACAGAAGACCAGAGAAGTCATGTGAACAAGCATGTGAATCACTTAAACAGCAGGATTATGAAGTGGCTGTGAAGCACTGCACGGAGGCACTCCTTTCCCTCAGCCAGTACCCCCCAGCTCACTTCCCGGAGGCATGCCAGGCTGAAATCGACCGCATAAAAATTGAGAGTCTTCTCTATAGAATTGCTTCTTTTTTACAACTTGTGAGTGCGACTCTTTAATAGTATCAGGTGACCTGGGAAGAAGAATCAAGTGCCTTTTATCTTTCAATGTTTAATTAGAAATCAGAACCTTATTATCATTGTCATGTTGCTTGGACATAAAACCCCTCCTTGCAAAAGCAGATGTAAGGATTCAGTTTTGCAGGGGTCTGTTTACCTGTGTGTAGTAGCTTGCAGGATTGGGACCCAAATGTAGTTTGAATCTGAATAAATGATTGACTAAAAAACGTATTTTAACTTTGGAGAAGCTTATTCCAGAAACAGAAATATTCACTAATAATGTATTACATTATATATATTAAATTAACATAAAAACTATGTTAAAAGACTATTAATAAGGTTGGAAAGTCAAGCACGCAAAATTTAGGAAGTGCCAGTATTAAGGTTGCCTATCTGAATGGGATCTTCAGGGAATTTAGCTGCAAAGCTCTAGCAAGTCTCTACTGAACATGTACAAACTGTGATTTTTCAAGTAAAATATATACCCGCAGGTTCTGACTGCACCATAATAGTGCAAGATTAAGTAAACTGTACAATGTACAGGCAACAGTCTGAATTTTAAGCAAATGTGGGAAATGATAGTTTTATATTTCCCTCCGGAAGTTGTGGCTTCACACAAACACAAAGACGCCTCTTCTCTTAAAACACCCATTTGGTTAGAATCCTGGAAAAAGACAACATTCTAAAGGTGAATGTATTAGACCCATGTCTGAAGTTCAAGTTGAACTAATGTACCTTCAGCTATATCACATTATCTACCTTGAAAAAATGTGTAAGAGAAAATGGGTTATTTGACGTTTCAAAGGGAGCTGTTGATTGGAGCAGGAAGTCGTTTAACCTGATTGGAATAATATTGTTTTTAAACTGTTTTTTTTCCCTCCCCCAGAAAAACTATGGACAAGCAGATGAAGACTGTAGGCATGGTATGCTGATTTATTTATCTATTGTGATTTCTAACAACATGTAATCAGTTCTCTGGATTACAGAACATTCTAAAACGAATATCAAAATATTTGCCTTTTTAATGTCATAAAATTGTCCTCCCCAAATTATTGCTCTGGTTTATAATGTCAGTACAACCCCACTGAAATACAGCCACCTCTGCTGTGGAGGGTGGCAGCTGACCAGTGGACCGCGAATCCCTCTGATGACCAAGAAGAAGCTGGCAATTTTGCCTGCCTTCCCAGAGGCAAGAATAAATGTTTTATCTGCATTTAGGCCATGATTCAGCAAAACATGTGCTTGACTTTAAGAACATGCTTAAATTCATCCCTATTCAGCAAAGCCCTTAAGCACATGTGTAGTAAAGCCCATACTTAAAGTTAAATATGTATTCTAGTGCGTTATTGAATTGGAGTCTTACAGAGGAATCTGTGCTAAAGTTCTGTTCTTTTATTATGGACCTGATCCAACACCCAAGACAATCAGATTCTTTTCATTGATTTCATTGGGTATGGAATCAGGCTTTATTAGCATAGACTTGGGAAATAAATTATACTGTGGGTAGGGCCCACCTTTTGGTGCTCTGACTCTTCAAGATTAGTTAAATTGTAATACAAAGATTCTCTTCCCCCCCCCCCCCCAAGCCCTGATTCAGTTTGAAAGCAATTGTTAAATGGGGATTGTGTGATTACTTGTACTATAGATGTATTCACTTGATGGGATGATTGAGAGTTTATCATTTCTGAATATTTTCTATGTATTCATCATATGCAATGCTGTCCTTAAAACAGTGCTATATTTAAAATCCACCTATTGTATCTGCTGCTAGAGCCAGAGATGCATTGTTCTGAACTGGCCTGCACAGTTGTCCTTCCTGACAGTGAATAAAGAGCCAGGAAGAGATGTATGGAAGGATGAATAATGGCGAGAGGAGGGAGAAGAGAGAATGCCGTTAAATTAATTGTATTTTCATTGACTAATATTCTGAGGACCAAATCTGGGTCCTATTGAAGTCAAATGGAAGATTTGCCATTGATTGCAGTAAGGGTGAGATTTATCCTTGAGACAGCTTTGTGACTTACACAGGGAGACTATCTTTGTTTCTTCTCAGCATGTATAGCAGATACCTGAATATTTCAAAGGAGCTATACAGTTAAGAATATTTTTCCTTATTGGGCACCTATAATATGGTAATTGCTGAAAAAATATGCCAACCGTAGAGCAGATTAACATGTATTTTTAATTTAAACAGATCTCTTTTGAAATGCATGGTAGGGAGAAAAAATTAAACAGTGTTCTGACCATGATAAGCCTTTGAAATCAGACTCACTTACAGGGCTGTTCTAGACGGAAGTCTGGTCTAGCATATTATACGTACAAATCTTTTTTTTCTCCAGGTCTAAAATATGTAATTTTAGAACAATTTTAATACCAAAACGATTTTTATAATCTCTATATAAACAGATTTGATAGTCTTGCCCTATTCTGTACTTTTAATTGATCTTCTCCCTGCAGCTAGCATTTCAAGACAGCTGCAGAGGTTGTCTCGGTGGGTCTAAGTTTTTTATTACTATTGAAAGGACATTTTAAAATAAAAATGCCATGCGTGTATCAAGTTTTAGGCCTGTCGGCTATAACGGTATCCATTGAAGCATGCACAAACCTTTTTGACCGAAAAAGCTTTATTCAATCTGCAGTTATGACTTTTTACAAGACTTGACATATTGCAGACACCAATGACTTCATTTTGATTTAAAAGGAATGAAATGCATGCTCTAGCATGCATGCTAGAAGTATGTATTCTCTACAAACAGTTGTATTTACTGATAGAAGCACAAGGGCTTACTGTAAGGGTGAATCTCTTAAATTATTCCATAAAGAGTCAAAGAATTTTGCTAAAAATGGAAAGTTACAATGTGCTGGCCTACTGCAACAGAATGCTTTAGCTAAATAACTCCAATTAAATATATAAAATATCTTAATTGATTAAAGTTCGAGGTATGTTATCCTAATTAACAACTGTCATACATCTTAAAACTGAGTTTCTGGAGCTTTGTTTTTCCTTCTGATTTGGGAAGTAAGTCTCTATTCTGAAATTGTTGTCAGCAGCCGCAGTGTGATTTGAATTCAGAGAGTCATGTTTTAGGCATCTTAAAATCAGGGTTTGGTTACCATTATATAGTGGAAAACATGTCCTGTCATTTTTTATATAGATGTTCTTTTGGGACTATTTTTTCGTTGATGTGTTCACATAATTTCCCGTAACGACATGTACACCTATTAAGTGGGAGAATTGATTTGTTTTTTGAGAATCTAATCCTGCAGTCCTTGTGCTGTAAACTTCCCATTAGCATTAATGGGAGCTACACACATCTAAGAACTGCATAACTGGTGATTGGCAGTAGAAACACAAGTGGTGACATTGTCTGCAATAATAACAATGTATATTTTTGATTGTAACTCTAACAAACAGGCTTCCTACATTATTACAATTTGCATGCATAATTTTACTTAACGTTTCAGTCTCTTAAAAAGGAAATTTTCTTTCTGGCCAAGTAACACATATAATTAAGTGTTATTACTACTGGACTGGAGCATTTCTGTATCATGAAATAAATCATTTTGCTATTGCAAATGTCAAGGAAAGTATCTGTTTGGCTAGCTATCTGATTCCATAGTTTACTGGTACAAAGTTTACTGTTACATGAAGCTTTTAAATATCAAGATCAAAACAATCATTCCTATTGCAGCACGAGTGAATACCAAGTCACCTGGACTATTTTGTTTTAAAGTAGTAAGAATATTAATTTCTTTGGAGCAACTGACCAATGAAGAGGTTTGGTAAATTTGCAATCTACAAAGTATGCTTTTTGCTAGCATGAATGGATCCTCATGAACATGTTTTTATCACCAAAATGTGGTTTGTTGCAGTTTTGATTCTTGGAGGGATGAGGGAGATCCTTTGTATCCTTGTCAAAGAGCTGAATTAACTGTCCCCTAACTTCAAGGATGCTGTCACCACCCTTTTGGCTAAAGGATGATGGGCTTGCATCTCCTTTGAGCTCATCTACATAATTTCTTAGTTGGTGGGAGATGTCACTGCTAAATGACAGTAGGCATGAGGGCAAAGCCGGTCCAAGCCTTGCCGATTCAGGAAGGGAAGGTGCAAACCTAGTTCTCAGATGACATTTTAGTTTTAAAGGTGAAGGGAAAACTGAGTTGGGTGTAGTTAAGTTTGTACTGTCTTGTGGTGGGGCTAAAAGTTGGTGCTTTGTGTTGCAGTGCTGGGAGAGGGACTGGCCAAGGGAGATGGCTCTTTCCGTGCAGTGCTTTGCTGCATGCATCTTAAAGGGAAGCTGCAAGTTGTATCTAATGTTCTTTCCAAATCACTGATGGGTGAATCATTGGTAAGTGGATGTGATTTAATTTACAACACTTGAAAACTAATTTCCTTTTGGATTTTTTTAGTCATTTAGTAGCAAACCTCGGATTGTCTCTTTGACCAATAGATAACAATAAAATAGTTCATATGAAAAATCCAAGGACAAATGTATATTAAAACATTCAGGTGCTCATATGTAAGCAAGAGCCCAGGTTGTTGCTTTACCAATGTTTCTGAGCCAGTGCGCTTTTTTGCTGATTTTTTTCTACTTTTGTTACAAATCTGTAGAATGTTTAAATTAGTTGTCTGCCTCTAATCCCCATGGAATGTACTGTAATTTTTGTACATGTGCCATTTAATAGAGCAGAGCATACGTTTCCATCCTTTTTGCCTGTATTTTAACCATCCACCTGAGACCTTTTTGTGTGTGCTTCAGTTGACTGAGTTCAGCTTTTATAGCAGAAAGCACATTGATGTGATTATATTTTTTAAAGATGACTCAAATTGTTTTTAAGTAAACTTCACAGCTGTTGGACATAGAAAATAATCCAAATACTTCATTCTAAAATTCAATAGTTTGACTCGCCTGCTGCGACCTGAGTTCAAGTGTCCTCTTTTAGGCCCTCATCCAGCAGAGCACTTACAGAGGTGCTTTACCTCATGCACATGAGTAGTCTCCCTGACTCCAGTCACGTGTAAAGTTAAGGAGGTACATCAGCCTTCACAGGATTTACTCTCTGTGTTCAGTTTCTCACAGTTTCAGTTTCACACAGTTTCAGTATCTGTGCTCCAGGTTTCACCTGTACGAGCTGATGGTAACACTAACATCAAAGGTAGCGTAAGGAAGGCTCTGCTCTGCTCTCAGAGGTGTTAATGACTTCAAAAGCTCCTTGAGGAAAAACCCAGAACCCTGAACTCAGGCCTTGGCAAGAAAAAGCAAAAAAGCGTTCTGTGAAAGCAAGTTTCTAATTTTAATAAGTTTATCATTTTAAGGGTGTTCCTATAATTGTTCAATGATTTAAGAGCTTAAACATGCAGCATTAATACTAATATATATAAAATACCATAAGCCCACTTGTTGCTATACAATATGTGAGCTGTGCCAAATAATTGTTGGGCCTTTGCTCTGAAGAGTATAAAATCTAAAGCCTACTTGAAGATTAAAATGTTTGGTAGAAATGGTGGTGGTACAAATCTCCTTTCACTTTCATCAGGGAAGGGGCTCTTGTTTTCCCTATTGCGGTTGATCGCTGTAGCGATCAACCATTGGGACTACTGTCCCTTGATTGGAGGGCTTCCATTGATGAATCCTGGCATCTTTAACAAGTCTTGGGATTGGTTGACATGCAGTGCGACACTGACTGTAAACATGCCTCTTCCTGTTATACTTCCTTATAACATCTAAGATTGGGGTGCTGTGCAAGGAACAAATATGCATCTTGGGTATCCTACTGCATGTGGATGATTGGCTAGTTGTGAAGAAATCTAAATTTGGATATAAATATTGTAACGGCAGAGGAATACATTATGTTGGTGCAATACACTCCTGATGGCAAACAAATTTGCTGAGATATATTCTCTCTTTAAAATAATGCACTCTCTGAGTAATAATTTACTTTTATCTGATATGGTTATGAAGATAAACAAAAAGAATGAAAAGGATTGACATACATTTTCATGTCTTTTAGTAGGAGTTTGCCTTCAGAAAAAATAATGTAAATAGCCAAATACTCCATTACCTAGGCAATGTATTTCAGGCAGTTATGCTACAGTGGGTTGACACATAGCTTGGTCTTTCTAAGTGAAGCCCCTACGCCCAAGCTGAAACTTACGATCTCATGACAGATCAAAGATCATAATTCGTGGTTGTTTTCAGTAGGAGTATTAAAGCCAGCAAATGGTTTACTGACTTCTCTCAGTGTCTGTGTGGAGTAATTCAATGAATAAAGTTTGGAGTGCTTTTACTTGAAGAAGCTGGAATGCATCCAGCTTCCCCCACAGTAGTATAAGGGAATGATTCTCAGTAACTTAAATTCTTTATGCTCTATATTTGAGCCCTACGAGTTGGATTTGTGAATTCTGCTTTTGGAAAGAAATGGAATAGCATTTCAAATAAAAGCTCTGTGTATGAGGATTATCAAATTTGCAGACTGGCAGTAAAGATATTTGAGTTTCATTTTGCTGCTCTCTAGTACAGGTGGAATGTAAAGGAGGATTATAACAATCTGCTATCTAACAAACTCAGTGGCACTTAATAAATGCAGTAAGTGGTCAGTTAAATGAAACCACAGACCTGAATCAGAACTCCTGAGTTCAGGATCATGCCCTCAATGTGTATGAGATTGCTTTACTTTAGATAAATTAATTTTAAAGGATTTTACTTGGGATTCCCTTGAATGTGAAGTTATTTTTCAGTTAGAAGGCTAACCCTTACATTGTAGTGAAAACTGTTACAGATGAGTTAAAGGGAACATACTCCAGAATGGAAAGAGTTAGACTGTAAAAGTAATCAATTTGCAAAATAGCTTCTTGAGAAGAAGTGACTAGATCATGGATACAGTAGTGTGAATTTCTGATATTGACTCCTTCTGAGTTGGAGTAAATATTCTAATAACAATAATAATAGTAATAATACCTAGCTCTTCTATAGAACTTGTCATCAATAGATCTCAAAGCTCTTTATAAAGGAGGGTCAGTATCATCATCCCCATTTTACAGATGGGGAAGCTGAGGCACAGAGAAGTGAAATGACTTGCCCAAGGCCACCCACCAGGCCAGTGGTCATGCTGTGAATAGAATCCAGGTCTCTTGAATCCCTTTCCGGTGGGCCACAGTGCCTCTAGGGTATTTGTTCTGAATTATACTGTCTTGTGAATGTTGAGGCTATTAATGCTTCATGTGGGTGACTGCCAGATTTCCTAGAGTTTATTTACCAAGTTGTCCTGCACATGTATCCCATTTTGCCTGACACCTGTCGCGTGAGATTAGCTTTTATCAACGGCAAGTTTCCTTGTTGCATAATAATGTTTGCTCAGTATTGCACAGTATGTCATTTACCATTATGTAATAAAACTCAACAGCTCATTTGTCTTCCCCTCTTGCCCATCCCCTTTCCCAAATATTGGGTAGAAAAAAATGTTCCTTGCTGCCTGTGTTTACCATAGCAGAGGATTTACGTACCGAATGCACTAACGTTTTTCTCTTTCCCTAGAACGGGATGGTAACTAAAGATTTGACAAGACTAAAAATGCTTCTTGCTGAAACAGAGGTAAGATTAAGTATGTTATTGGGAAGAAGGTGACAACTGATCAATTGCAGGGTGTTTTGTTCCGTGCTCCTTGAACAAGGTCTATTGGGCACTATAGCCTCCATTGCCCTACCAGTTTTTACCATCTTTAAAGCAGCCTTACACCAGTCTTGGATCTTTGTTTTTGACGAAAGAATAAGAAAAATGCTGAAAAGTGGTTGACTGTGGCTTGCAGTATTGAGCAGGGAAAAATGAGAACATCCACATACACTCTATTTATTTCTTATGACTCAGAAAGTGATTCCTCTTTCCAGGGGAGATTATCCACTAGAGCGCTTAGCTGTGTCCTAAACATGACGTAAGACTTAAAGTGACTAGCAAATTCTAGATGCTCCATCAACATCTGTAGGAAGGAAGGGTTAGTCTAAACATTATATATATTGATTGAATTACTGTTTTCGTATATGGACTTTGTTCATATTCTTCAAATCATTGCTTTTCTTTTCGTCTAAATATAAAATGAATTGAGGTGTCAGTACATTGTAAGACTGTACTCTTATTCCAGATGCAAATTAAAATGATGGCACTTCGACTCTTTCTGTTGCATCTATGTTCAGCTTTGGAACAAGCTGCTCAATGACCAGCCCATTACTTCATTTGCCAATGTCATATGTTAAATTCTTATGTCTCTAACAGCAGTATGATTCACTCACAAAAATAATAGTCCCTCTTTTTTAAACAATAGCTTTTAAAAAAAGGACACACACTCCGTTCCACTAAGGCCACTTTGTGCCATGGGAGTGATTCAGACTGATCTTAAAATAGCCAGCGAGAGCTCTCCGCTGGCAGAGATGTGCCTCTGCAACTTTCTGCACCAGCTGCCTCTCCTACCCCAGTAAAAGGTAGAAAAAAGGGATATCAGGTGTTCGAGGGGTGGTTGTGGCCGGGAGGGGACATGGAGTAGTAGAGCTCTACCATACCTAATCCTCCCCTGGCATAAGAGCCATTATGGGCCTTATACCAGTGGCAGACGTTAGAATAGGCCCCCTACTGTTCTTACTTCCACGGGGTTGGATTGATGAAGATCAGCGAGCTGTGACTGGCTCCTATTGGCCACAGTTTGATGTTGTGGTGAACTGGGGTCAAAGTTTTTAGATAGTACAATTAAATTTTTTTCTTTCATCAGAGAAGTACACTGTGGTACAGTAGATTTAATGTTCACATTAGGTTTCCCCCATTCAGTTACTGTGATTACTGGCATGTTAACATGAGACCCAGGTTTGTGACCAGAATGTTGTTTGAACTAGTTGAGATTTTTTTTTTTGTACTGACCATTAAAATACAATCTCTTATGACTACAGTAGCAAAATGAAACTTACAGTCAAAATCTTGATATGTGAACTAAAATATCTTTTTTTCTTTTTAATTGCAGGCATCAGCTAGCAAAGTACCCTCAGGATACCATGGGGAAGATTTGGAAGATGGTAAGTAGAACATACTTAAAAGATGCTTTGAGTTGCATGGTGAAGCATTGACGATGGAACCACTGTAGCTGTCTGAAGAAACACCGTTGTCTTGTACAGGCACGGCCCAATCATTTGTCCCTGATGTTTAGTTGGAGGGAAGGCACTAGCAATAAAGGGGAAAACTGCATGAATAGTTAGCTTGAGTCAATGAAATGGGAGAGACATGCCCCCTCTCCAGTTCTGTTTGGAGACTCCAGGCCACATTTATTGGTCAGTTTGGTATGGGAATACTACAGATTAATTTGTGTAACTTGCCTTATATGATTCCAACTTTTGTCCCACATAAATTTCTCAGGTATTGAAATCAATTGCGCAGTAGATTGCTATGGGGAAACAGCAGACCTGCTTGTGTGTTTATATCCTGTGAGATGGTGTTCAGAAACATATAACCCTGTGCAGTTACTACCAATAATTCTAATACTGGCAACTGGAAAAATAACCAGAATCCTCCATTACTCTACAGGCTCTCAGGATGGTTGGCAATTCCGCCCCCCACCCAGGGGTGTCACAAGTAGTGAGGAGTACACATTGTGTAAGAGGTAAAGTGATATAGTTTTATCGGTGATGAGAAGCACCTCTGTTTAAGGGATAATTTCATTTCTTTTATGTGCCCATAACTGTTTAATTCATGAGTGGAGAAACTATGAGGTCAAGGAATATAACCTACCTGTTAGATCAGGGAACCCATTCACAGTGTGACTCTGGTTAAGTCACTTCACTTCTCAGCACATCAGTTTTTCTCTCTGTAAAATGAAGTCAATAACACCAACCCTTAAGTATGATTAGTCCCATTTTGCAGAGGGAGAAGCTCACACACAGAGAAATGCCTTGCTCAGGATCACACACCCTGCGCTAAAACTGGCATTCTTAACTTCAATCTCTCTTTCTCAGTCCATTAGACCATGCTGCCTGTGTATGGAGTATGTAGTTTTTATCATTAGTAAAAGCGCCCAAAGATATATTAACCTGGGAAGTCCTGCACTGTGACTTGATTCCGTCTTGCATGTGTCATGTATGCAGAAATTAATTTCCCAGGGTGTGTAGCAATCTGACCTGCTTTTCAGCTGGTATGATTGAGCGTGTGAAAATCTAGGTTGTTTGGACCTGATTTTTCAGAGGTGCTGAGCACCTGCAACTCCCATTGATGTTTTCGGTGCTCAGCCTTTTATAATTTCATGCTGGTAATCATGCCAGGAGATTGACGACTTGATTTTGGTAGCCTTTTGATGACATTCACAGAACAGGAGCATTGTGTGAAGTTTGTCATCTTGCTCCTGGGCTTGGTTATTTGAATGTTGCTAATTGTCTTTTTTTGCCATATGAAAGAAGCAGCAGCATTTAGAAAAATCAGGACCTCTGTTTTTAACTCTCAGTATTGTACCTTTATAAAGAGTGGCATTTTGAGCCAGATTTTTAATCCCAGTTCTGAATTTTGTTCCATTAAAGATATATTCTAATGTCCACTGATTACTTCTGTATTACAGGAGCTATTAACTTTGGGTTGAGAAGAAGGTCTTGATTAGTGAATCCATGTGATTATTATAATTCTGGCTGTGGGAGTTAGATTTATTTATAAAGAGACAGTAAGAACACTGAATATTAATTTTTGAAACCACAGTTGTCTTGAGGGTGGCAGATGGCAATAGAGATGTGGCATCTACTAGATAATGAAATGAAGGAATTGCAAGATGTACTCAATAAGGAACTGAATGTGTAAAGTAAATGTAATTGTTGCTAGAAGTATTGAGAAATGAAAGAGTGTGCAATACTAGTTAATAGTGAATGATTTAAAGTGCTGTATCTTCCTATTAAGTGCTGATGAGGAAGAACCCAAGTACTTGTTTCTAGAAATATTTTCTCGAAAATGATAACACTTCTAATACAAAGGGAAAACATTTTCTAAATAATAGTAACATTTCCAAATATCCAGCAGTGTATATTATGGTTTATTTTTTTTAATTAGGTCAGGAATGAATTTGAAATTTCTTCTTAAGGGATGTTGATAAAATTATCCATTCAAAACACAATCTCTTACATGTATTGCTAGTAATAGTATAGATTGTTTTAATTTAAACAATTTCTTTTACTCACATTTTTATAAATTTGTTTTGTGTTTGCCCTTCATTTAGTTTAGTCTGTGAAAATAGACTAGTCAGTTTCACTTTTAAATCCTAATCAGTTTCACTCTAGAATTCTCATGCACTGGTACACTGAGGTTAGAAACATTGCAGGGGAGTGTTTAAATCCAAACAAAGAATTGTTTTCAGTGAAAATATTTTAAGTAAATAATAGGAGAACACTTCTGTTAACATATCTAAAACGTTTACTTTCTTTTATACACAATTTACACTTTGAGCCTTCACAACACAGTGACATCATTTTAAACTTTCTAAACTTTTCTTAAAGGGAAAGAGTATGCTAATTCAAATAATCAACTGTAAGTAAATGTGGCTTGTATATCAGACACTTTGCTTCAAGGTTTTTCTGTGATTTTTCAACCACATAGCTCAAGATTTACCATCTAATTTGCATTGTTACATAATATATTTACTACGAAACGGTCATAACATTAATCATCATATGCTGTATCTATCAATGATTTGAGTATCTAACTTGTAACTTACTTTTACTGTGGTTTGAGCTAGTTGATCCATCCTCTTTTTCAGTAACACATCAATGTGGGAAGATGTCTAAATTCGTCCTGTAGTGTAAACTTATATATGAATATAATGTTATAGTTACACATTTTCTACATTTACAAGATCATGGCTTGGATCCTTGGCTGTCATCAGCTGTTTGGTACATGTGGTGTTATAATTAATCAATCTTATGCTGTATACCAGATGATTTCATAATACTGTCAAACCTTAAAAATTAAATTCTATCCTCCAATTCTCCCTCCATCTAGTCTAATTTTTTAAGTATTTACAGCTTTAAAGAATGGTAGAACTGCAGCTGCAGCAGCTGACATGTTAAAGTTCTAGCTACAAAAATATTTTCCAAATAATATAGCTATTTGAATGCAAAGTGTAGAATAACAGCTGCATAGCATTTTCTGAGAAAACTGCAATTCTTAAATTGTGTGTGGGCGATAAGATGACACTAAAGGGATTTCTTAATTTTAAAGCGTAAGCAAAATGATATCACATGGGAACATTACTTTACATTATTTAAAAAAAATCCACAAATATAATAAAGTATTGTACACATACTTGGTCTGACTCTCTTGTTTCAAAGAGGCTGGTGTTCAGTGTGTCCTTTGGGAGATTTTCTAAATCTATCTATAGAACATTTACACAATATGTACCTGAAGTTAACTAAAAGAACCACATGATGTCACTGTTGCTTCAGAAAACTTCTGCTGAAAGAGCACTTATCTGATAAGTAATAACATGACCTCTAGGGAAAAGTGTGTCATTGACATTGTTAGGTGTTCAGCACGTATTTATTTGAACGTAAAAGTTTCTTAGTAAAGTGATTTATGGCCCTTTATGGTTAAATTAGAAAAATTCTGCATATACCATTATGGGCATTACTGCAAGAGAGGCTGCTGCTGAACAATCCTGTATGTACATGTATATGTAGCTAAACCAGTTTCTAGTGACTGATCCTGCAATTTTCTGTTTTATGTGAGAGAATCAAAAGCCAGAAGAAAACTCTTTGAAGTGAAATCTCAATTATTGTTTGTTTTGTTTTTAAATTGGAACTTTGAAAAGTTTGAGGCATAATTGTCTTTCATGTTTTATGTAGATTTTTAGAGCAAGGGATCTGCAGGTACGGTGCACAGTGTACTTCAGCACATTCCCAGGAAGAGCTAACAGAATGGCAAAAACGATACGCTTCCCGCTTGATAAGATTAAAACAACAGAAGGAAAACAAACAATGTTCGGGTAGTTATATGGAAACCTTGATTGAGAAATGGATGAATTCATTATCTCCTGAGAAAGTGGTAAGGAAAACAAACTCCTTCTCTGTGTTCATATTTAAAACTATCAGATGAGCCTGTTTTTAGCCCTTATCACTAGAACTGGTCGAATTATTCATTACCAAGAAACTTTTCCTACTTACAAAGCTTTCATAGACTGAGAGTAGTTTCTACAAATGCAGTTGTTCTCCTCAGGAATTCAGTAAGGAGTTTGTGAACTACAGCTTGTGGATTGATCGTGAATTGTCATGCGGTGGTGTTCCTGCTCCCTGATCAGATGGTGGTACTTTTTAAACTGAAGCATTAATTTTCAGTGGCGAATACTTCTTTTTGTGCGTGACTCCCCTTCTTTGCTTGCAGTTTGCATGAAGAAAAACCATTCCCCAAACTTCATTTGGTCATACAAATGTTTGTGAATACTGAAGAGTAAGGGTTATGGATCTGATCAAACCCAACAGCTCTTTGCAATTCCAAAGAATGTTTGTGGCACTAGTTTTGCAGCATTCAACCAGCTCTTCTCATGACTGACACGAAGGAGTTTCTTTTCACTCTATCTACTGTTGATAAAATCTGGGAAAAGTGAGCAATTTGCCAAATGGTTTAATGAGCAGAAAGCCTGATTCTGCTCTCATGGTACTCTAGTACTCTCACTGAAGTCACTGAGAATATTGGGTCTGTTGGGAATGCAGACTTGGTGGCTTATTGTATAAGACCCTTATTTCCAACTGAAATCTTAGACCTAACTGAGCTAAACTGATTTTTGAGATCCATGCCTATGAAAATCAGGTAGTGTTTGTTCTCCCTGGATGATGGTTGTTTTTTTTTTTGCATACATAATGTGATGTTGTTGAGTTACAATCTTAATTGTTATCTGCCTCTCTGATTTAGCGCATATCTGAATTAGTTCTTGTCCTGTGCTGATATTAGAATCCTGCACAATCTTTTTGCTGAAACCAACCCTCAACTTAGGAAACAATCATTTTACGCTTTCTGTTTTAAGATATAAACTTGGCCTGAATGTCTTCTTTATTGACAACGTCTGTAGAAGTTTAACGCTAGGTTTCTTTCTCTTTAAATCTAGCTTAGTGAATGTGTAGAAGGAGTGAGAGTAGAGCATAATCCTGAACTATCGGTTACTGTCACCACCAAAAAGTCTCAACAAACGTGGACATTTGTTCTCACTTGTAAGGTAGGATTCCTCCTCTTTTGAAAATGAATAAATATTAAAGCTAGCATTCTGCAGCACTTGGATCTTATTTCTTTGCTGCAGTAAAACTACAGACTTTTGCAGTTAGTGTTTCAACTCCAAAATGGTTCTTTTAAAGTGAAGTAGTGGGGTATGGTCCAACCTCCACTCTATTTCTCCCCACTGGGGTGGCGATTGCCGGTGTGGATGCTGGGAGTTATGGGGACACTATGTTCTGGAGAGTGCAGAGACTCAGCTGTGCCTGCTGAATGAAGTTGAGGCTTCTTTTAGCCTCCCCTAATCTGGCCTCAAATGAAGCACTTCATAAAATAGTTTTCAGCATTTTATTGTCACTTCAATATTTGCATTTCTCTGTAGCCTGCAAGAATGCTGTATCGAGTGGCATTGCTTTATGATGCCCATCGTCCTCATTTCAATATCGTTGCAATATCTGCTGGAGACAGCACTACCCAGGTATCACAAGAAGTCCCAGAAAACTGTCAGGAATGGATAGGAGGAAAGATGGCCCAAAATGGAATAGATCATTACATTTACAAAGTCAGTATAGCCTTTAACACGGAAATCTTTGGAACATTTCGCCAAACCGTAGTGTTTGATTTTGGGTTGGAACCAGTACTCATGCAACGAGTAATGATTGATGCTGCTTCAACAGAAGGTAATGTTCTGCTATTTTTCTTTTTCTACTGAACAGACTTGATAGAAATGTCCAAAAGAATGTTTCTCTTTGTGGTAATTTTGAGAATCAGAAACACGTCCTGCACTGCTCATCAGTCAGTATGATCAGCATTTGATGTTTTGTGTTCTCCTGTGGTATGATAATCAGTTTACTATAAATACAAGATAATTTGTCATGCTATTTTTTTTCCTTTTCTCATCTCTGTGCAGAACATTTGTTAGCAGATAATGAATGTCCTTCAGGATATAATATATAATGTCTAACATGTCTATAAATTATCAGATGGGTAGCTGTGTTAGTCTGGATCTGTAAAAAGTGACAAAGAGTCCTGTGGCACCTTACAGACTAACAGAAGTGTTGGAGCATGAGCTTTTGTGGGTGAATACCCACTTCGTCAGACGCACGTGGTGGAAATTTCTTGCCTGCATATTTATACCTGCCTCTGGAAATTTCCACCACATGCGTCTGACGAAGTGGGTATTCACCCACGAAAGCTTATGCTCCAATACTTCTGTTAGTCTGTAAGGTGCCACAGGACTCTATGTCTATAAATGTAGATTTTAGGCCAGATGTTCAGCAGGTATAAATTGCTATAGTGTCATTGGAGTTAATGTTGCCTTGCCAATTTACAGGAGACCGTCTGGTCCTAAGTCCTGATATAGAAATGCTAGAAATTGTAGGAAAGCAATATTGTCTCTACTTGAACACACAAAAATAATCATGTTTTCAGCCCAGTGCAAGTTAAATTTGAACTAAATGTTGCCATGGCCATTGTGTTCTGTTTACTGTATTGGTCTGTTCCTGTCAGTTACAGGAAATCAGGACTTTCTGTTCTAAGCACCTCATTATCAGAAAGATGTCTACAAATTGGTAGGCATTCAAAGAAGAAGGGGAAAGATGATCAAGGAGCAGGAGGGATTGACTTATGGGGAAAGATTAAAAGAGCTAAATGTGTGTTGCTTGGCAACAAGCAAAGAAGGTAGGGTGAGGCTTGGTAGTCATCTGTGTCTCTACGAAGATTGGAGAGATGAGAAGACTAACGGGCCTAAGAAGCATTTTTACTGTGTTGCAATGAGAATAACCAGGATTAATGAGATGAAACTAAGGGAAGGAAAATTGAGGTTGTGTCTGAGAAAAATAGATTTAATAGATTTTGGCAGAGTTTCCCAAGAGAGGTGGTTACAACTCCTTTGCTTGGGACATTTTAAAGCAACTGAGTGCTAGAGTCAGACAGACGTGAATAATGGCTGATATTCAGTTCTGCTTTGCTAGTATCCTTTCTCATTGTTTTTGAATAAATAAAACCAATTTGTTGCTGCTTCTTTTCTGACTAACTTTCCCTTTTGCAAAAGAATTTCCAGATTAGCACATGAAAGCCTTTCTTTCTTCACAGTTTTGAGTCATTTGTCACAGTTTCTAGTTAGTGTTTGTGTTTTGCTTAGGCTGTTCTGAAATGCCTGTGGTCCTGTTAATGCTTTTTTTTGCACGGACGTTCTACAGATGCTGATTAGGTTCAGCTTCAAAACATGCTCTATGAAGAATTTTAATTTTTTTATGTGACAAAGAATTGTCCTTTGAGGCAAAGGAGATTCAAGCCTCCCCCGCCCCCCCTGCTCAGAAACAGTTTGGAATAGTCCAAAGATCATTAGAAATATTTTGCTTGGCAATGAATGAGAACTTGATTTGTCAAGAAGACTTAAAATATTGAGACGCCAAGAGCTGAGCACTGATTCTTGGTTTGGAAATTTGTGCAAATCCATTTATCCGAACAGGAGGTCAGGACTCAGAACCATTGAGCATAATCTCCCCCTAAAGGCGGTAGGAAAATACAACCAGTTGTACTCCTGTTAATTGTAAATCTTAGGAAACTGATGAGATCCAGACCAAAATTGTCAAAACTGCTTAGGAGGGGCAGAAATACGTTGACTGATTCTGACTCAAATAGAGTATGACTGTCTGGGAGATTACCAGAATACTTGTCAATGAAGAGTATTTTCTCTCTTCAAGAAGATTGTTTCTCTAGTCTGTCTATTGCAGTCATCAGGGAATCCCAGGAAAAGTTCAGCTCTCAAAGATTTGAAGGAACATTGATTTAATTTTTGGCGGAGGTCATAATTCTGCAGGCTATTGTTAATAATTTCTTACTACCCTTCAGAGATGTATTGCAGACGCTCTTTCCTATTTCTAGCATCTCCAGATCTATTCCTACATCTTTAAGTGATCCAGGAAATTCAGATTTCCTTGTTTTTTCGTGATACAAGACTTTTAAGGCCTTTTTATTAGCAGTAATAATGATAGATGTCGTTACTAAACACTAATACATACCGTATGTGCGTTGGCTAGAGTTGTTGCTTTTTGCTATTCCTATCCTTTGTTTACATAGAACAGATTTACATTTACCAGATCAGCAAAGAGAAAATGTAAATAGCAAATGCCATAGTTTATGAACTGTTCTTTCCAAATTACCTGAATACTTTTAGCCCAAGCAGGAAGTTGTAGTGTCTACAATACACTAGAATTCCACATAGGGTATGTTTCAGAATGCATGAGATTCTGTGTTTAAGAGCAAGGCTGTGGTCTTTTCAGGAACTATTATGTGATCTCCATGTAAGAGGGCAGCTAACCAGAGCTGACAGGTTTCCAAAGTCAGTAAACTTGCAGAGACCTGGCGTCCTTGCAGTGTAGAACTGTTTAAGACCAAGAGAGCCAAGCCATAATTTATTTGCAAAGGCAAAAGTATTAATCTTCAGACGAGTCAGTGTCCTTGTCAGCTTAAACTACCAGGATTTCTCAGTGCTGACTACTAAAAATAGATCAAGGGCAGGGGCAATATAAATGGCACTCTGGTGCAAAATGGAAAGATGATGCTGCATAGAGTGATGCCTGCCGAGTTCACTACAGCACCTCTTTTTGAGAGGTCACAGCTCTGTATGCAGAGAGAGAGCAAAGGAAATCTCCAGTCAGTCAGATTATTATTAATATTTATCTAATGCCCAAAGGTGCGCTAGGTTCTTTACAACCAAACATAAGTACAAAGTCTTTCCTTTAGGAGCTAACACTCTAGGTAGACAACATATGGGAGGGGTAAGGATTGCAACTGAAAGCAAGTGATGGAATAGTGGTTAGGAATATATCTTGTTCCATGTGGGTGTTTTGCATTTATATTTCCTTGAGCAGTGGAGTGTTGGGTTATAGTATGTAGAGGTCTGACCGAAGAAGTAACATCGAGCAAACAACCCTGAAAGAGGCCTTCACCTTTTGTTGCCGAGTGCCTACACTACCAGTACAAATCCTTATATGACAGATAGATCTAGGAAGTGACTTGGGAAGGTCAATAATAACTTTGAAGGATATTGGAGCTATGACATCATGAAAGACAAGCATCCTCCTTTTTAAACAGTATTAAGAAGAGACATTTAAGTTGAGCAGCGTCTGTCACTTTTCTTGGGGAGCTCTCTCTTTCATGGAAGAAGTTACAAGTAATCAAGAGAAGATTAGTTTTTCATGCAGTGAAAATGTTCTTAGTTTTGGAAATGCACAAGATTCTTCTTAAGAAAGCAACCCTGTATGCATATTCCATGTTAACACTCAGTTATGTCAGACCAACAGTTACAGGAAGTGTCTGTAGCATGCAATATCAAATGGCCAATTTCCTAGCAAACAAGGACAGTGTCCTGGCAGTCTGACTGAACTGTTACACTCTTAATATATGATCAATACGGGAAAATGTCATGGTGGATAATTCCTAATTCTGAAATCACCAAACATGGGCCTTTTTCTCCTGTTGCACATCATTAGCACCTAACATCATTCACTTTAGAGGAAGATGAGAATTATTTATATCTTCTTTCTAATCTCTATTAGATGAACTTTCAAAAATATTAGAGTAGTTTACTAAGTGAGACAGACCTGTTTCCTGTGGCTGAAGAGTGATGTTAATCTGAGATTCTTGTTGCTAAACTGGCCTCATATTATCACTCAGACGTCACATTTTTCATCTCTTTAGGATACAGAATGATGAAGATAAAATGAAATACTTTATTTGAGGTTAGAGAGTCTCTCAGTCTTTCACAGCCACTGCTGTGATATCTGGGCACCCATTTTAAGCCCGATTCAAAGATGATACATTAAAACGTAGCTATTGCTTCACCATGAATGCTAAACCATTGCAGCTTTTAGCTTAACTATAGTTCTGTTACATGAAACCCCTACTTAGTCCTCCAGATAGCAGTTGCCATGTGTTGAATTTTTGCCTTGTTAATGGCTATTGCAGGGTTCTATGAAAAATTCTTGACTTCATGTATATGATTTGGGCTACAATATAGAGACATATCAGAGCTAATGAAGGATAGACTGAAACATTAATTTCCTTCCATTTATAAATGTGGGTCACACTTTCAAGTGATGCTTGGAGAATTAATTGTGTGTGTACGATATGAATCTTTTCAAATGCTTAACCCTAATGTTATAATAACCTAGGACTTAGTTTTTAATATGGTAAAGGGCTTTCATGTACTGCAAGTTATGTTTCCCGATCACCTACCCTACTGGTTCCCCCACAGGTTCATGTATATTTTCTTTGTTTTTGGAGGGGAAAGGTGTTTGCTATTATAGCTCACCTTTGAAAAGGACATGCAGATACTATGGATGCTTCTGATTGCTCTTAGTTATAATAATAGAATCCTTCCATCACTTGTTTAATTTGTATGCTCTCTCTGTTCCTATCTGTAGAGTTGTTATACTTTGATATTCTCTTATTCTTGTGTGTGAGTTGGTTCTTGTCTGTTGTCAATCAACATCTGAAGTTGGAGTAGTTCTTCAACAGTAAAATTATGAAAACTGTCCTAGACAAAGGAGAATGTTATCTGCAGTTTCATTATTTTAAGATAGCTGAGTATCTTCAGTAATCCTGTGTTCTCCTTGAAGAACCAAACCATATTCTGTTAGTTAAAAATTAAGTTTAGCTTATAAATTCACGATTCTTCTGTTTTACGTGAATACGCTGTGGTGGGGAAAAAATCTAACGTTTCCCACTTATATATGTCATTTACATGTGATCAAAGTGTGGAAAATTATCTTGGAGAATTTGAACTGAAGTCTTGTCCCTGTTTGTATCTCCACATGCAGATCTTGAATACCTGATGCATGCACGGCAACAGTTACTAACTACAGCTAAGCGTTGGGATTCTACTTCTAAGACTATTGTAGATTTTGAGCCTAATGAAACTACTGAATTGGAGAAGAGCCTTCTTATCAGATACCAAATTCCTCTATCTGCTGACCAGCTGTTTACACAGTCTGTCCTGGACAAATCATTGACCAAGACCAACTATCAGTCACGGTTGCATGACCTCCTTTATATTGAGGAAATAGCACAGTATAAGGAAGTCAGCAAGTAAGTAATACTTTTACAAAATTCTGTCTTAAATGACTGTTGCTGTCCTACTAAAAATGATTAGGATGTCACCCTTTCATTGTAATTGCACTTCTCTGACTGGTCTTGAAAGGGCTAACAGTTTAGCCATTAAACCTTCTTACATCTTAAGAGTGGATATGAGTCTTGAAATCTTACCTCTTCATAGAGGAGAATGGAAATATATACTGTAGAAATAAATGGCTGTGAAGATAAAGAGATGTCTTCATTAACCTTTGGTTAGGGTTAGACACACTAACCTCAAATGTACTGTATTTTCCTAGGGTCCTGAGGTTAGTTTTTCTTCTTCTTCTAGCTCCCTAAATACCAAACAATGTTGAGGACAGCAGGGGCAATTTAGAATGTTTCTGTTCCCTTGCCAAAAAAGAGAGTCTGTTACAGTTCAGTTATCTGTGACAGCCTCAAATAAAAGGGGGTTCAGAAGAGAAAAATATTACCATTCTTCTCTATAGATGATTGCAGGTTTAAGAAAACTTTTGAATCCTCCTTATGTCAGGGTGGGCCAGATCCTGATTTCTGTTGCACACGTGCACATCTAGAATAACTGCTTTGGAGAGCTGATCCTTTACCTACTATTTGCTAAACAGGCAGAATGAGTAATAGCTTTACAAGTGTAAGATTGGCACATAATGTAGACTCTATTTTTTTGTGTCAGAAATATTCTTTGTCGTTATATATGTGCTGTCCAGCACCATTCGACATATGAGAAGGATGCACGTGGAAAAATAAAGTACACGTTCCAGGTTCATAGTCGTGCTATACTGGACCATTTTTCTATTTTGACATTTGTGATTAATGATCTCACCTTCACTTGTATGGTATGAAAATCTTTTAAGGTGACATACTCCTAGATCAAGAACTCTTATTGGCATCATTTCCCCCGTAACTTGATGTGGTGGCAAGTAAAATCTTGTATATACCAATACAAGAATGCCTTCTGAAGAGCACTGTGCCTCCGAACGTAGTCAGGAGTTTAATCGAATTATGCAGTGGTCATTTAAGAATATTAATAATATGTACTATTATTGAAGGAGACTTTTTTGAAGCAGGAAAACAGTATCTAGTCATATTGCTTTCATATCTGGTAAAAGTGATAGTAAACTTGAACCAGTTCACTGAATATACCTAGTCATAGCTCTCCTCTCTTGGAGAGCTGGAATTTAACATACAAAGAATTTGCTTCTACATGATGTTGTTTTCAGGAAACTAACAGATTCCCTCTTGCTGACCTCCATCACACGTATTTTTATGGAGGTTTATCTTTCAAGGCTTTTAAACCAAGATCAGACTTAGAGAAAACAGTGATACAAACAACAAATAAATAATGTTTTTACTATGTTAATATTCATGTTGAAAATTTACGTTGCCAACATCTCTTGGAAGACAAAAGAGCAGCTTGCATGTACAAACGATGGAATAACGAGTACATTCCAATACATGATGCTTCACTTTTGGATAATTTGGTACTCCAATAAATTATTTCTATTGCACGACTTTCTGTTACGTGGATTAATAAACATAAGTTCTATACATGTTTTTTAAGTGTCTTCTGTTTGGTAGAATTGATGATAGAAATCTTCTTCTTTTGATTAAATTATGTTATAGTCAAACCATTTTAATACACTGGGTCAAACTTCTACATACCTGTGATCCCATGTGCCTTAGGTCACAAGTGGTGATTGTTGTGGATCTTGCTAGCCTCTAGTAGATATTTGTACAGATCATAAAACAGCTGATTGTCAACAGGGTGTCTCAAGAGAGGTCCAGGACTGGAATAATTTGCAGTCCATGGTTACAGTGCATTGTTGGGTTAAGCAGTACTGCTGGTTCCTCACTTTCATCAGCCCCTAATTGATCCCATTTAGAAGGTGGCGGTGTACATGATTTGAAAATGATGCGATAGGCCTGAACATGCACAAGAAAAGGCAGAGCGAAGGTTAAAACTTGAGGCCACTTTATGGCTTCATATGCAGCAAGTAACACCACACCTGCTGTATCGAGACCCCTGCAATACTTAGATACAACTTGGTGAATTGATGACACAATGGAATCACCAGCTTCCTGGTGATGCTTGCTTTAAATCAAATGTTGCCCTTCGGGCTAATTTTTCAGTAGTGACACCTCCAATTTTGAGCTCAGAATGCACCTGTTTGTGTGCACATGTGCATTTTTTCAGCTAAAGGTGGATTATGCAGTGTACTCTGCATAGGCCTATATGCAGAAGCCTTTTGGAAGCTGCAGCTGGTGTAGAATTGAGCCAGCTGATTATTACTAAGCAGAGTTTCCCTCGTGGAGCCCATAATCCATACTCCAAAATCTGCACTGGCTGCCAGTTGATTTCCAGGTCAAATTCATAGTGTTGGTTTTGATCTATGACACCCTAAATGGTTTGTTTCTGTCTGCCTGCGAGAGTGCCTCTCTCCTTGTGATCCTATAGCGGATGTGGTCATCTCCAGCACTTGAGCTAACAGCCCTCACTATAAGCAGGAGGGTGTTGGTTGCAGGCATTCTTGGTGAAGGATTCAGCACTCTGGTTCTTGTTCCTAGCCTTGATTTTGAGCCTGGCTTATTTTTTTATTTTTTATTTGTTGTGACCTTTAAGGCACACTGCAAATTGCAATGCTTGTCCCAAACTTTCCTTGGAGGGCCAGAGGACAAGTGCTGAAAGGTGTTATGTGGAAGAGGTTGCAATGGCATGGGAAAGCATCTTTAATTGACTGTCGCAAGGGAGTCTCTGGTGGGGTTGGGAAGCTCTTGGTGAGCTTTATGTGTAAGTTGTGTTTATTGCAATGTTGATGAAAAATTTTATTTTAGATAATTACTTAACGTGCTTAGAGTAGGAAACGGGCAATAAAGGTTAGAATAAATAAGCCAACACTCTGATTTCCATATGCAAATGTGGGCTTTGTATGAACAAGCAAATGTGCAGGCCAAGCTCTAATATGATCTGGTGGAAATTTGGGCCTTTCCTGTAATTTTTGAGGATTTAAACGTCATCATCTTTCTCACTCTGACATTAAAAAAGAAAGCAGACTAATAATAATAATAATTAATAATACCTAAGTGCCGTAAAAAACATTCACTAGTGAATCTGAGAGGTTAAATAATTGCGGCTCACACTATTTTGTACTCATGCAGTACATTTTTTGCTATCCAAATTGTAGGCCAGGTTTTCACTGAAGTTTGCAGAAGCCTCGCATATTGGCTTTCATGGAAGGTCAATGTATTTTTGCTGAATTGGGCCCTGAGTTCATGAGCCATTACTGCATATTACACTGTGCCACTAAGTAGTAAAATGCTGCTGTGCATGCCCTCTGTGGAACTTACACACATGAATGTTAAACGCCACATTGAACCTTTTAAAACACTGGCACACGGAGACATATTCTCTATGGGATATTTGGTCTTTTGGGGGGCTATAGTCTCCATTGGCAGTGGTTGGGCTATGATCTGGTAAGTCCTAAACTTTTGTGATGTAAATATAGACAATAACCTTTTTCCTAGCTAATTAGAAATAGAAGCATAATTATGTTGAAATTTTATAACATTGCTAAGAAGGTTGGAATATTGGGCAGATTTGCTGTTAGGATTTGCTGAGATTTTGGCTGATAGATTTTCCCTGTTCGTTTTTACTCTGTTTGTTTCCAGCTTCATGCTGCCCAGAAAAATCTGAGAGAAAGAAGTAAATCAAACACTACAAAAGTTTTGAGGTGGCACGATGACTAAGACAGCTGAAGTTTCAAATGAAACTCCAACTTAGTTTTTCTCACCACCTGAGAGTTCATCTCTCAGTGAAGAATAAGTATTTCTAAAATTACACAAAGCTTGAATTTACAGTATAAGAACTCTCAAAAATTAATTATGGCTTTTGTGGTAAAGTGTTTATGCGAGAGCACACTAAAAAGTGTTAATTGGACTTGCATTTCTGATTAGCGGAACATCAGATCTTTAAGTGTTAGCGTGAAAGCATCCATTGTGTAATCCAGAAAAATGATGTCAAATATGAGAGAAACCTCGAAAATATATATATAGACATATATAGATATATATATTTTATTTTTTTGGTAAGTTGTTTGGGAGACTAAGGAGTTTATTTCCTCTTAGAAAAGCATCATGATGTACTATTTGAAAGAGCCTACAGTAAAGCAAATGGTAGCTATGAGCATTATAGTGGCTTAGTAATTAATACACTAGCATAGGGAGCATTGGACTGGGAGTCAAGAAACCTGGGTTGTGTTGCTGCTTTCACCCCTGTTTTGGAGTGTTACATTGGGCAGATGGCTAAGGCTTGCTTTTTCAAACGTGACCTTTAATTTTGGGTGCTCCATTCTTGTGTGCCTAACTTTAGACACCTATGACCTAATTTTCAGAAGTGCTGACTGTCCAGGTCAACAGTTGAAGTCAGGAACTTCAGTTCATCCTCTCTGAAAATCAGGCCCTTGGTATTTAAAGTTGAACACCCAAAATTAGAGGTCACTTAAAAAAATGTGGCAGTTAACCTCCTTGTGCCTCAGTTTCACAATCTGTAAAATACTTCCTGACTTTACAGGGATGTTCAGAGGCTTAATTCATCCATTTATAGAAACAAACTTTTGAAAGGACAGTGCAATGCAAGTCCAAACTGATCTTTTTAATTGGTCTGATTCTGATCTTTTGCTTGGGGAGTGAGGTTCATCTAGTTAAATCTTATTAAGCATGAACATGGAGTGTGCTCATGTTCAATCTAAGAAGGAAAGGGGGAGTGAATGAAGGAAGTGTAGTGCTTGAGTACTAGAGGATTTGGTAGTTGAATAGCTCACCAGAGGGTGTCTCCCTAGTCAATGGAAATAATTTAATAATCTGGAGAAGAAGGTTCTAATCAGCAGATTAGAACCAATGTAGCCACTTAAGATGATGCTGTAAAGAGTGGCATGTCTCAGAATAGCAGTAATATAGTTATTCAGCTAATATATGTGTAATAACATGGAGTGTTTTAAATTGATTCAAGTTAGCGAAAGCTGTGATTAAATAAAAACATTATACTGCCACCTGATATCTGACTGATGATAATGAGATTTTAAACGTTACTGAGGTTTATATACATTTAACACAATATTGCATCAGTCATCTGAATGGAATTAACATATGTAACTGACTAATAGAGAATTCAGAATTATATATTATAAGTTGACAAGGAAAAAGTCTTGCATGCTTTTTCCTAAATGTTTTTAGAAAGTGGAAGGAATTTATTTTAATTTCAGTCATGGTCTGCTGAATTCATGCTTTGAGGTAAACTAAATGATCACTTTTACTGCAAATTCCTTAGTAGCTATTACAATTATCTTAAGTATACTGATGATGAAGAAAGTAAATTTGTGTCCCTGTCAAGCCAAAAATCATCGTAGTTCATTGCATTGCTTATTTGCCAGGGATGTTTGTGTGTCTTAGTATACCTGTTATACAGAGAATGAAATACCACCACAAGGAGACAGACTTGCAGTTTTCATTTAAGGAAAAAGACTTATCAGATGTGAACAAAAATCTTTCATGGGTTTAATAGGCATTTACCATGCACAGAAGAGAACTGAAACTGGTTTGATTTGGTACTAGTTTGGGACTGTGATACGTTGTAGTAAAGATTTTCTTTTACAATGGATTAAATAGTATTACATATGCACTTTTAATAGTTTACCAGGAATGGTTGGAAGGAAGCTGAATGGATTGAACAAATCAGCATAAATGTGGAAAGCATCATATGGAGACAACACACAACAATAGAAAGTTGTCCATTTCACATGATAAAAAGATCACTGCTCATTTTAGTGGAAAGCAATGTATTCTGCATCCCTTCTACTTTCATTGATGTATTCCCCTGTAACTCATTACAAACTATTAGGTTAAACTTGCTGACATTGAGATAGATATGAGTGTGTGTAATACACTTCCATGGGAATGGCTGAAGCTCTGTTACTTGGCACATTTAGGAACCAGGATGAAGAAAGAACTATAAAATGTATTGGATCATTGTCCTTTAGAAAAGAGAAGGACAAGACAGGCTAACAGGTCATTTTTAGCTTTAATGTATATGATTTTTTTAAGAAGTGTAAATACAAAGAGTGGATTTGCTACTTCTACTGTGAATGCGGTGTGGGGTAGTCATGGCTAAATGTTAGAGCAGAAAGAACTCACTGCCAGTGGGAGCTTTGTGCACGGATGCCCTATGTGGTTAGGCATGTGATATGTTAGATATTAATCCTTCATTTACAATAGATCCATTCTCATTATTTATTGGTCTTTGCTTCTAATGTCATAAAGTTTTAAAAGAATCTGTTAAACTATGAGGGTATAATAGCCCTTTGCTCCTCTCAAGATGGCAGCCTGCCTTCTCTGATCTGCACCTAGAACAGGGTGTACAGAACGAATAGGAACTGTATTCTGTTCTGGACCTGTGTATATGTCCTTAAAGAATACGATGTAGTCAATTCATGAATATATCGTAAGCTTAAAAGATATTAAAATAACTTTTCATTGCTGCGAGAAAAATGCTGCAGACGTTACTCCCGTAAAACTCTCATTGACTTCGGGCAGAGTTTTCCCTAAGTAAAAATTGCAGGATTTGGTTCTATTTAGAGCACCTTTTTAAAACCTTCAGCCATGTTACTGCTTGTAACCACCCTTTGATGTTAGTTACATTCCATTCAGAAGCAAAATAGACACTGTTTCCCTCCGATGTTTTTGTACTGTTCAGTTACTTCGTTTGTTTACAATTGCATTCCTTCCTTTTATTATATATCGTTTTCCTTCACTAAGGTAATGTATAATTACACTTTTTTATATCTTTACTAATTTATTTAATATAGATATAATTTGAGTTTTGTAATGAATAAATTTGTTTTGTAATGAATAAATTTGACAATGGCAAAAATATATCAATTGTGTTATCCTTTATAGAATTTCTCTACCTCATTGTCACTTTGCTTGTAGTGGGGTTTTAGAATCATGGACCAGATTTACTTGCCAAAAGAAGAAACTCTGAGGATCTTTTTTTCATTCTGAATAAACTGAGTATTTGTTACCCTTAAAGTGCATGTTGCCCTTAAATAACATTTAAAAGGCTGCCATACCTGCCATTACAGACAGAGCAGCTGCTTGCAGGGGAAGTTTTCTCTTATCAACAGAATTTGTAGCTGCCTTCTCTGAATGGAGGCACAACGTTCTTGAATGTTCTACAGTACTGTGCTTAAACTTCCCTTTCTCAAGGCCAGATTCTGCCCCCCTTATTCACAATGAAAAGTTACTTACACAGTCCCATTGAACTGCTGTGAAAGAAGGTATTACTCAGTGTAAGGGTATGTCTTCACTACCCACCGGATCGGCGGGTAGTAATCGATCCCTGAACGCGCTCCCCGTCGACTCCGGAACTCCACCAGAGCGAGAGGCGGTAGTGGAGTCGATGGGGGAGCTGTGACCGACGATCCCGCACCGTGAGGACCCGAAGTAAATCGATCTAAGCTATGCTAGTCGACTTCAGCTATGCTATTCAAGTAGCTGAAGTTGTGTATCTTAGATCGATCCTCCCCCCCAGTGTAAACCAGCCCAAAGGGAGGTAGGGTTGGATCTTGAATGTGTGGTGTCTCTGAACTTGGACGCATTTGATTAACATTGTCTCCTGATTTCTAAAATCAAATCCTTTTTCTGAACTAACTTTATACTTTCTGATTTAGGTTCAACATAAAAGTGCAATTGCAGATTGTAGCAAGCTTCATGCTCACTGGTGTATCCGGAGGTGCAAAGTATGCCCAAAACGGACAACTTTTTGGCCGCTTTAAGCTCACTGAAACGCTTTCTGAAGACACTTTGGCTGGACGGCTGGTGATGACCAAAGTCAATGCTGTTTATTTATTGCCAGTCACTAAAGAGAAGTCAGTACAGACCCAAGGAACCAAAGAGAAGGTTTATGAAGCAGCTATTGAAGAGAAAACAAAGGATTATATCTTCTTGAGGGTATCCAGGGAATGCTGTGAAGAACTTAATCTTCGAGCAGATTGTGAAATGCAGGTATGTTTGAATGGAAGATTCTTGCTGTAGGAGGAATTTGTGCTACTTTTTTCCCTCCTAAAGTAATTACATGCCAAAGGACTAGAAAGATATTAATAAGATTTTTTTATTCCTTGTTATATGCAGAAAATCTAGCAAGGAGAAGAATTTCATATTAAAATTTTATGTTTAAATTTGATTTTTATACGTAATAGAATTAATATTTTAAAACTGTTAGAGTAAAAATATATTTTAATGAGACTCATTTCTGATATAAAACTTGTTCTGATATGGTTAAGCATCCTGTGCAAATCTTAGCTTGTGTTCTCAAGGATACAGCTTGAGAGCTAATAATACAGGTTTTTGAACTCCAGTTCAAACACTTAGCCATTTTTGTGCCGGAGTATGGACTTATTTGTTCTGAAGAGCCTCTAGCTTCATCTTTATTTTTATGGGTTTGTGTTTGTGGTGGGACATAGGTGTTCTATCCACTTTTGACACCTACCTGCGATATTTCTCTATTCCTGTTTTCTTGATCTCTCTGCTGCCTTTTGTCTGAGTGATTACTCTCCCTTTCTCTGCAGTCTCTTTGTGGCCCCCTGGGCTTTGTATTGTCTGGTTTTTGAGTATGTGTCAGTGTGGATCCCTCTGTAGATGCACATGTGTGTGACTCTTGGATTTTGTTTTTACTAGCAGTGTCTGTTGGGGCTGTGCATGTGCCCTTTGCCTCTTTGTGTTAGGGCATAAAGGGTGTGACCCTACTTTAGTTCCCCCTTACTGCCTGGGGCAGTGAGTTAGAACCCAGCAGGTGCAACCTACTGCTCTCTTCTGAGACCCGTAACTGGTCTTTTTCAGCCTATTTGGCTATCTTATCTTCACTATTTATCATAAAGCATGTTCCTTTAAAAAAAAAGTGGAAAATTTGATCAATGATTCCCAGGTACAGCGGGGCAAGGTGAGGCAAGGCACTTCATGCCAACTGCTAACCTTATAGTGCAGTCCAACCCCTCTGTGAAGGATTGCAGGCCTTGAACCTGGGCCCTTGGGTCCCCAGGCAGCGATCAGACCGTGGCTGCCACCCAGTAGCTCTTCTGAACCAGTGGAGAAGGGGGCTAGCGAAGCTCTAGCTCACAAAGAGACCCGCCCATGAAGAGGCACAGGAAGTTGTCTGACCATCTAGGTGAATCCCTGGCTGCCTGCTGGTATGGTCCCTGCCTACTTTGAGTCCTGGTTTCTTCCTCCCAGCCTGATCCTGGTTCTTGCTCTCCTCATCCCAGACCCCTGCTTATTTCTGGTACCTGTTTTTCTGCCTTGCTCCAAGTTCCTGCTCCTACACCCTACCCATGATGATGGCTTTGGCTCATGATAAATAGCAGGGAAACCTTTGCTGGAAGAATATATTCATCTAAATAAAAGAGGTTCTTGATATGGGCTGCCCAGCATGGTGTGGACTCAGTCCAGGCCTTGATACATCGGAACCTCAGCTACTTATTACACTTAAAACAGACCAGCCTCTTGTTCAGCTCTATTAAGGTTTAGTTTGCATTCTCAGCTTGTCATCAATCTGTACAATCATGCTTAGTCTTTTCTCATCCCACGGTGTCAAAATTTCTCAGTGGGCTATTAACACACTTACTCACTGGGCAGAGAACCTACTCCTGCCTGGGTCCTCATTAGTTCTCCTGAGACTCATGGAGCCTCTCTGTGAGACTGCTCCCTGCACATCCTCACTCTGAAGACCATCTTCCTGGTATTGTGCTGCGTCATCCATTGGCTGGTGTTCCTTTACTGCTGAATATCAAGACGCACTCAACCAGACCTCAAGCAACATCCTCCTCCTGCTTCAGAAATGTGACAGTTTCCAAGATCTACAAAGCGATGACGTGGAGTAATCCACTGACCTTTGTCAAGCATTATGCATTGGGCTTGGATGCCAGATGTGGGAGAGCGGTACTCCAGTGACTATTAGACTGACGTAGCTGAAACTCCTCTTCCCAACATCCTGAGGAGATATTACTTGCCCCTTGTCTATAGCAGGTTCCACACTGACACATTTTCTAAGAAGAAAGAACGGTTACTTACCCTCCAGTAACTGTGTTCTTCAAGATGTTGCAACCAGTGTGAATCCCATGACCTGCCCTCCATCCAAGCTGCCATGGGCTTTGACTTGTGAGGGAACTGTTAGAGCTACTCTGCCCTTTATCCCCTTGTGTGGACGCATGGGAAGGCACATGTGTGCGGCCCCAACAGACACTGATATTAAGGAAAACAAATCTGATCTCGTATGCATGTGTGCTCGTGTAGAAGGATCCACACTGACTACAATATCTCAAAGAATCGCTTCCTGACTGCCTGGCTGGGCCACATACAATCACCGTAGAGGATGTCCTTTGGGATGCGCTCATCATTCATTCGGCACACATGCCCAAGCCAGCAGAGGTATCTCTGTTTGAGGAATGTTTGTATGCTGGCCTGTTTGAGCACCTCAGTGTTGATGACTTTTTCCCTTCAGGAAATTCAAAAGATTTGATGAAGGCAACGCATTTGAAAATTGTTGAGCCTCTTTTCCTGATGAGAGTATAAGGTCCTTGTCTCGCTCCCCTACAAAAGTGTGCTGATAACCTATGCATGATGCACACAGATCTTTGTGTATTCTGTCAGTTTGTTGTTTTGCCATCCCTTTTGCTCAGTCTAGACATTGTTGTGGCGGTTTTTCCAATGCGGATGTTGAGTTTTGTTTTAAATGAAAGGTTGACTGTGATAGTGGACCCCAAGTATGTGAACATGTTCACCACTTCAAGTTCACAGTTGTTGATCTTGATGGAGGGTGCTTCCTCAACTCCTTGGCACATTATGTCAGTCTTTTTTAGGCTGTCTTGGCAGGCTTTGGAGAAACTGTCCATTAGGTGAAGAAATTATTCAGTTGAATAACAGAAACTAAAATGAAAATACAGACAGATATCTGTGTAAGGAGACTATTATTTTCCCTAGCCCAGATGTCTTTAATAGAGGAATCCCGTCACAAAGTTAAGATTTACAGCTCCATTGCCAGGGCAAACAATATTGGAGATAGGGTCAGTACTTCGTTTATTTTGCAATCAGCATGAAATGGACTGAAATAGACGTCTTGACCTTAAATAGTGTTGTGGGGTTTATGGACAAGATAGTTCAGGTAATGTAAATACATCCTGCTCTAGAACATGGAAGAATAAACTCTAGTTGACAAAAATCAAATAATTCCCCCCTCCTTGTGTCTCCCTGGTAGAGATAAGGGGATTGACCTGCTACCTAACAGAAATAATCCCAAATTAAGGCCACTGAAATTGATTGAAATAAATCCATTTTGGGGGAGCATGTCACCTTCCATTCAGTTTGTTTTGTGAAACATATGCAAGAATCCTAATGTCTTCATTTAACATGGATAATTAGTCTACAAGACTTGTATCGTGCTGAGTGCGGTTAGTGTTTGTTTTCTTAAAACAATAATTAAAGCCACTAACTGACTCTATTTATAAACTCCACTGGAATACAAAATGAGTTCGGGCTTTTAGTAACTTTGATTTTTTTTTCTTTTAAAACTGCTTATGAAACTCAGGTAGGGTGAGCTGTTCAGATCTGTCATTTTAGGATTACAATATCCTAGAATGAGAATTTGATCCTACAGTTATTCATAAAGAAGTGTAATGCTTTGTAAATCTGTTAGAGAACCAATGGTCAAATCCTAACGCTTTTTATATAGTTTTTAATTAGTCCTGATTTCAGTGAGAGTTCTTCAGTGCAAGAACCGATTGACAACTGAGTGAAAAATTAATAGGGAACTCAGGATCTGAGCCCATATACTTTGGATACACACTGGATTCACTGCAGTCAATAGGAGTTTTGCCATTGACTTCAATGGAGCCAGGATTTCATGTTTCATTTTAAATGTTGGCCAAATCTGTCTTATTGCTATGGTCTTTGGATAAAGTATATAGTTTGGTTCCTATCTCTTCCAGTAATCCATGTAAAAAAAACCTCCCTGACCATGCATTTTTCCTGGTGCCCTGCTTCTCGGGTAATGGAGGCTTTTTAATATGTTTGCAGTTCTGATTTTATCAAGTGCATCCTTTACAAAGCTGCAATGGAAGTAACTGTTGTCCAGGGTGAACTGCTTTTTTTTCTTGATCTCTGCTCCTTTTGGTGCCCAGCCATCTGTAGGCTACGCCAGGACAATTTTCTTTAGTGGCCCACACGGTCCTGTGTCATTTTCTGTTAACTGGCAGTGGAACTATAATTGTGTTCCCACTGTTCTCTTGTTGTGGAATGAAGAAAGATAATGCAGGTAATATGCCACTCCTTCCCAGATAGCATATCTAACAGAATGAGTTAATCCGAATTAGATGAAAAACCTCTACATTTATTGTAAGGTATAATGGCGAAGTACATACAGCTAGTAAGAGATGTTTAACACTAACTCAGATTCCTAGAAAGGGCGGTTATAGGGACATTGCCAACATGAAGTCACATGTCTATCTGAAAATTGTGTAGGTACTACAGCTAAGTGGACACGTAAGATGGCTATAACTGGAAGAAGTAGTAAAAAAAGACTCTTCCTGTTTGTTTACTTTGTGCATTTGACGGCACTTTGCGTATAGTCAGCTTAGCTGTTTTTCCATTAAAAGCCCCAGTCTTGCATTGGCAGAGCCTTGTTCCTGTGTAACCCCAATTGCAAGGTTGGGGCCATGGTCGTTTGTTAGGAAGACTCTTCTAACCATCCACAGGGGAGAAGAAAAACTCCTGTGATATTTTTATTAAAAGATAAAAAAGGAAAAAATTCAGGACAAATTGTTTGAAGGGGACTCCATTGAAACATGAATTTTTAAAAATTAGTCAGTTGTTAAAATTTAACTTGACATTGCCTCTTTAATATTACAGAAACTTTTTAGAGACCAATGAATTGTAGCCTCTCTCCACGCATTGCTGACAGCTCTCATACTCTTTAGAGATCATGAAGGAAGTGGTATTGCATAGTGGTTAGAGCAGAGGCCTGGGAGCCAGGAATCTTAGTCTTTTTCTTCCTCTACCACGGACTCACTGTGTAATGTCGGTCAGGACACTTAAGATGGGAATTTGAAAGGAGTTTATTGGAGCTAGGCACCAATGCCCCATCTGCCCATATGGAATCTGTGCTTCGGGTTTAAGAATGCTACCATGAAGGATGAGGTTATGCCCACTCTGTGTGAAGGTAAGGGGAAAGGAGAACGACAGGCAGTACTGAACCTCATGGGGTGGGGGCTAGGACTTTGGCTGCTGGTGCTAAGTAGAATGTGGGGAGAGATGGACATCTTGGAGGGCTGTGGGGACCTGAGTTGGAGAACCACTGATGATGGAAAGAAGATGTTGATTGAGATGAGGATTTTGGAAGACTGGGTCTGGTGGATGCTGGTAATGGTTTGGAGGAAGAGCAGTGAAAAGGCTCTGGGGCTCAGAGGGGTGCTGGTACAGTGAAGATGGGACAGAGTTGGAGGAGCAGGGCCGGTGGAGGACTAACTTACTCTAAGGAGGAACTACAGTAAATTACATGGTTTCCCTGCTGAGATATGTGGTTGTTGCACTGCAGCGTGCTGCTTGGAGGCACATTGTGCTTAAGCATTCCACGTTCTTACTTAGGCCTTCCCGCTCTTTCCTCTTATCGCACTGATGAAAAAACTCGCAGAGCAGGCGTTGCGCTTCTGTGTGCTGTGCAAGAGCAGCATGCCACCCGTCTAGGGGAGAAACGCGTTTTCCTCTCCCCACAGTGCTAGCATCATAGCATGGCACGCTTCCATGCCTCTGTCACAGCCCTGTGGTATTCAAAGGGGAGGTCTATACGCTGATAACTAGAGGGGGAATGATCTGACACATTATGATGCAAGATCACTGAGAAGGAAAGAACATGTCAAGGCAGAAGCATGAATTGTGCACCAAAAGTATATGTGTCCTTTTCATTGTGTGTCTAGCCCCTAGCACGGTGGGGCCTCTAGATGTGTTTCAATACAAATATTAAATAACCCCCGAGTTGAATCATACCAAGTTCCTCCGTGCCTGTCTAGAGCATAGTTCCTGTACACCTGGTTACGAGATTTATCCAGTGACTGGTTCAGAAATTAACGTAAACATCCCTCAGAATAATACAACATCCAAATATATTTTATTACTATTTGCAAAATGTATGTTAAAATTAAAAGTATATTAAATGTATATTTGTAAATGTAAAATGTATATAATATATAGCATTTGGTAGGCTCACATCTTAAACTAGCCAGGGCTATGGAAAAAGAGATTACTTATTCAGGTAATTTTTTAAAATCATGTTTTTTTTTTTTAGATGTTGCGTTTGCCTTGCGAAGTGAACTCCATAGTGAATGCTATGTAGCTTTAATGTCACCTTTATCTCTTTTGGATGGTTGGCTTTAGATTTTTGCATACAAGTAAACAAGGGGGATGAATATTAAGTCTTTATATTGATTTTTAAGAGGTTTCCAACTTTTGGGCCAAATTCAGCCCTAGTATAAGCAGGCACTGCTCTATTGCCTTTAGTAGACTTACACCACTTAAACCAGGGCTGGATTTGGCTTTTTTAGTAAATAGTGGTATTCATATTACTGTTCACATATTGCCCTACAAGAGCATAGTGCTTAAAACAGATTCAACAGATTCCAGCCCCAATGAGCTTTCATTGTTAAGAGCCTAAGCTTGCATGCCCTAAATTGGAGTAATTGAAACATTCACAGTTGAGTTTGCAAGATTGGGCCCTAAATTATGAAGTGATTTCACAAGCAATTACTAACTCTGGGATATAGCAGCTAATGAAGGATGAGGATTACAACAATAAGGTCACACTGTACTGTTAGTTGCTGATGCCTGCATTAGAGAAGTTCTGAGGTTTGGTTTTGACTGGGTTTTTATTCCACATGAGATAGCATGTTATTAATTCAGAGGAATGATCGACCATTTTTTTTTTAGTGCTCAAATTGCTGTTTTGATTGTCACAAAGGATTTTTAATGTAACAATTAGGAGGGTTTTTTACTTAGTATAGATTCCATGTCATCTTAATTGGTGAACACGATGTTATCGTCTCAATTTCTGGTACTTCTTTACATTTAGAATTTTCAGTTTGGTCTTTTGAGAAACTTCCAGCAAAGACAGATTTTTAAAAATGCCATCTGATTGATTGATGCCAGTTGAACTTTCTGGCTGTTGTTAACCAGGTGTAACAATATTTACCATTTGATATCAGAGAGATTAAGCAATAGGATGGTCAAATATTATTGAGTTGTTAGAGTAGGGGTTGAGAGTTAATAGATCTGGGACCAAATTTTCTAATGTAGTTGCATGGGTATAAATTTAGAGTGACTCCATTGACCTCCGTGGAATTTCTCCAGATTTACACTGGGGTACCTTAACTCGGAGTTTGACCCATAATTTCTGTTTTCAGCTCTGCTGCAGACTTGATGTGCTGTCTTGAGCAAGTCATCACTCAGTCTCTCCATTTTCCCATCTATAAAATGGGGAAGGTAGTACTTAACACACTTTTGTAAAGTTCTTTCAGATCCTTGAGTGAAGGTTGCCATAGAAGTACAAGTGTTATTAGTGCATGTTCCAGTCAATATGTTTCTTGAGGAGTGCCCTTCTGTATAGGTTGAAATATGTTGACCATCAGTGTTGTCATGTTGGCCAACACACACACATCTTGTAGTAAACCCCCATGAATGCTCTTATTGTCTAATCACTAAATGCTAACTGAAGTTGTCCTAAGTGATTACATGACTATTTGCTTGTTACTAAACTATGAAAAGCTGTGCTTCCACATTGGGTAAGAATCGCAGCAACTATGGATTTATTTGTTCTTTTCTATCTGTGTGGTTTTGTGTCAAATTATTTCTATAGATTTCTGTTTTAATCAACATTTAATTCTTCTGTTCAGTACTTTCATCAGGACCATTTGTTTCTGGAGAGATTAATAAATGTAAAATTAAAGCTGTGTAGATTATAGTCTGAGTGGATCATTTTCATGAATTGTTTCCCCTTAAAAGCAGCTTTTATCCATTTCTGTAATTAAAATGTATCTCTTTATCTTTGCTTCTTTAGTAATGCAATTGTATAAATTCATTTTACCATTCATTGCTTAATTCTGGGTTTAATCACGGATGCCAACATGCTATGCTACCATTTCTGGCTTTGTACCAAGATTTTGTTGTCATCATTCTTTATTTATTAACATGAAAACCCCAGTAATTGGAAAGAAAGAAAATGATTATATTAGTATGCAACTAATCTCAGAAATCCATCTTTGCAAAGGTATCTTGGAAGTCTTTATAGTACAATGTAGTCAACAAATTTATACTTTGAGAATGATTGATTGGGTACAGAGAGTATTTGGGTTTTGCCTCTCTTGGCAATATGTCATACAAGGCCATCTACTGATCCACGAAAATTTCTGACCAGGTCAAAGTTCCAGAGTAGGTTTCTGTAACCTGTCTTTTAGTTTCTCTTTTCAAATACAGTTTAAAAATATTCTTCTAAGATAGTCTTTTCTAGTTCTGCAAGAAATTACTGAATTATTTCTAAAAGTACGATGAAATCCTTTCATAGTAGTCAAACGCACAAATTATACTACAAAGAAATCATATGTTTCTCTGTGATTGTTCAAAATGGGCTTAAGCAAATTAACTTTATTATAAATCTTTTGATCTGATGATGCTTGCTTGAGATTTTCTGAAGTTCGGTATAATTTATTGAAAGATAAAATTGAAGTAAAAAAAGTCCTCTTAATCAAATATTTTCTGGTACATCTATTCATTCATTCATTTTGTACTGTAGGTTGAACTTCAGTTTCAGTTAAATCGCTTACCCCTCTGTGAAATGCATTATGCCTTGGACAGGATCAAGGACAACAGTATTTTGTTTCCAGATGTCCGCATGACTCCCACCATACCCTGGAGCCCCAACAGGTACAAAAATACAAACACTTTCATATCAAAGATGGTATGTTAATTCTGTTTTGAATTCCTTATAACTGATGACTCAGATACACTTCCTGTTTAAGGGTACATCTTTGTTCTTCATTAATGTTAAAGGTGGTTCAGGGAAGGGAGTTGAACTGCTTTAAACAGAAAATGAAAACAGACTCTTGTAGGATTAGGACTGGTAGATGGCTTTTCCCTGTTCTCCCCAAAGTAGACCTGTACTGCAATTACATTGTAGCTTTAGAAGACTGAAGCATATTATTATTATTTCCTATTTCTTTAGCCCTATGCTGAAAGTGTGGATGGTGCTTTATAGAGAAATAAAAGTACAGGTTCCTGTCCCAAGGGGCTTACAGTATACTGGCCTAAACTTGAAAATTTGCACTTGCATGAGTAGTCCTATAAACTTGGTAATGGCATTACTTATGTGAGTTTTCAGGATCAGGCCCAAAGTTACATGTGGCACTGCGGTGTCTGACCAACAAAGATGTGATCATAAGTATGGGAAGCACCAGCACCGCACTGCCAAACTGTTGTGAGATCTTCTGTGTCCTCATCTTGTTGGTTGCTTTTCTGAAATGTAAAATCTGTAGATTGTATTAATAGTTTTGAGGGAGCTAAATCTGGCACAAGGGCAGGAGTGGTAGAGTCAAGGTCAGATGAGAATGATAACTGAAAGAAGTGACTCTTATGCAGGGACCTGATGGTGGCAAAGTGAAGCTTTGTGCCTCATAGACTTTAAGGCCGGAAGGGACCATCTTGATCTTCTAGTCTCATGATTACACATTGCAGGCCAGAGAACCTTGCCCACCCACTCCTGTAGTAGACCCATAACCTCTTGCTGAATTACTGAAGTCCTCAAATCATGATTTAAAGACTTGAAGGTACAGAGAATCCACCATTTACTAGTTTAAACCTGCAAGTGACTTGTGCCCCATGCTGCAGAGGAAGGCAAAAAAACCCCAGGGACTCTGCCAATCTGACCCAGGGGAAAATTCCTTCCCAGCCCCAAATATGGCGGTCATTTGGACCCTGAGCATAGGACCAAAGGATTATGGTAGATATTCTAGGTGTAGGGGGAGAGGTGAAAAAAGTCATGAAGTTACTCTAGTAAGACTAAGACCTGGGAAGTGATGAGGCATGCCAATTGATGGTATTCAGCATGAACAGGAGAGGAGTTGTTCAGAACCTTGAAGACAAGAATGAAGAGTGTGATTGTGATGGAGAGTAGATCAGAAGCTCGCCCATGTGTTCAAGGACGGGAACGACATGGCCAGAAGATGATGTTAGCTGCAGCCTGTTGGATAACTAGAGTGCAGTGATGTGAAGAATGGGGAAACCAGAGAAGACAATGGGTGGTTGTAGTAGTACAGGTGAGAGATGATTGGTGCAGGGACCGAGGCTTTAGTTGTAGAGATAGAAATAGATGGATTTTGGAGAGAGCCTGCTACAAAGGCTACTAAAGTCAAAGGAATCTTTCCACTGACTTCACTGAGCTTTAGATCAGGCCCATAAAGAACAGAAAGGATTTAGCAACAAGTCTTGATGTGGGAGAAGAGGAAAGAGAAAAGGCAGAAATGTAATTAAGATAAAATTTTCCATTTTCCATATTTTTTGTTAAGAATCTTTATGCCATCTGTAACAGAAACTAAACCACTGTTCTGCTCTTAAGTTAGTCTTTAGATTGCTAGTATATGCACACGATTTGATTACGTTTAACAAATTTGCTATAAGTAAATATTGGAAACATTATTGATGTCAAGCAGCTGTCTGTCATCAAGCACTATGTAAATTAGTTCTACCAATAAAACAACATCTATGCAGCACAATGTGAATTCTATTCAGAACATAGTAATAAAATATTTCATTCAGAATGTATATTTGTTTCATTTTGTTGTAAAGATCATCATCAGCAACAGAGTGACCTGACTGCCTGATAATAATTCCAAACTTAAGATTCTAATACGGCACAGCTCCTGACTCAGGGCTTATGAACAGTCTCTCACTTAAAATATTACATTTTTTGTCCTCCATCTCAGAGATTAAATTTTGTAAACTCTAAAACCAGAGTAGCTGAAGGATAAAGTGTGAAATTAATTAGAAGTGATGTGAAGCAGCATGGGTCTCAAAAAGGCTATTAAATGGACTTTTGGACTAAACATTGATTTGCCACAGATAACAGTCCATGAATTTTTTGGCAAATTAATGAAGAAAATTAATTTTTGCAAATTAAGCAAAAACAATCATCAAAATTGAAGGTTTTGAGTACCTTTATTGAAATATTTTTTTTGAAAAAAATAATTATTCCTGAGTGGGAAGAGTGTTAGTATGAATTCATACACAATCATGTTGACACTTGGTTTTTGGCTTCTTTTCCCAGCACTGCATACTTCCATTGTTTCATACATTAGAGGACATTTTCAAAGACATACATGGTATGTAGGCACCCATTTCTCAGTCAGTAGGAATTTGGTGCTCAACTGCCACTTGTGCCTTTAAAAATCTCTCCCTATATCTCTGTGGTACATTGGCTTTAAAGCTCACGTGAGATGGTCGGGGAATGAAACAATGGGACCAGATTTGAATTTTGAGGACATGTTGTGCATTGCCACTTACAGTTAGGAAGAAAAAAACCTGTTGTTGCACTTGTACAGTAGGAAAATTTCAAGATATGCTATGCTGTGTGCCACTTAATGGAGACTGTAATCCAGCTCAAAGTTTTTGCATTCAGTCTAAAGAGAGACTTGAATACTGAATTGTTAATGCAGTTTGTAAGATACTATTCTCAAAATATTGTTAAGGTTTCAGGAATTGCTGTAAAATAGCAAATATCATTTGCATTTTGCATCATATCATTTTCCGTCTGATTTGTGACTATTTATTGTTGGTGAAGATACACGAATCAGAAAGAAAATGGCTCTATTTTTGGATACAAGGCCAGCATACTTTGATAGCATAAATCAGAGCATACTTGTGACATCAGTATTTATAACATGAGAAAATATTTTTTTATGGTGGGTAATCCATTTTTATGTACTTGTTACATAGCAAGCTTTCACCTACTGCATTGATTGTATATATGTAAGTGTGATGCTGGAACTTTTTGTTTATCTGTGATATGGTCATTAAGGCTGGCTTTATTTTGAAACATTTTGATTTTTCTTCTTTTCTTACAGTTAATTTTTAAAGTTTTTTTCCTGTTTTTTAACAAAATATAAAGTTACAGTTCAAAGACCTTATTTTTTCTTTCATCATAAATAATCTCATCTCATCTCCTAGAACTGGAAGGGACCTTGAAAGGTCATCGAGTCCAGCCCCCTGCCTTCACTAGCAGGACCAAGTACTGATTTTGCCCCAGATCCCCAAGTGGCCCCCTCAAGGATTGAACTCACAACCCTGGGTTTAGCAGGCCAATGCTCAAACCACTGAGCTATCCCTCCCCCCTAAATCTTATCCATTTATATCATTATAAAATACTTTTTCTTGTTGGTGTAATTTTGTTAAGTAGTCCACATTTTTATCAGACTTCTTTGATTTCTGTGGGCTAAGTGTTATGGAGCTTTATTCAGGAGGATTTAATTACTTTGGCCTAAATATTATATAAGTTAGTAGAGTCATGTCAGAGGTGAATTTGGCCCAATATCTTTATCTTTCTAGTGCAGAATTTTTCTGACATGCTCTGGGGGGCCAGATGCTCCACTTGTGTAAATCATTGCAGCTCAACTGAAGTCAATGGAGTTATGACAATTTACACCATAGGATCTGGCCTATGTTATCTTTTCTTGACTGACTCAAACTGTCTTCGCCTGTAGTTTTTCTATTTTTTACATCCTATCATCTTTCCACTAGTTCTTAGGTTCTTCAGTCATCTAGTTGTCCATAGCAGTCTTATGAGTTAGGAATTCAATTAATTCCCTCTTGGTTTTACCCCATACCACTACCCAACACAAGTTTTCCAGGCCCAGAAGAATTATAATGTAAGTAGCAAGACAGATCACATTACAAAAGTATGGCCATATGTGCAAAGTGACAGGTGTTTCTTACTATGTATACCTACTTTTAAATCTGTCAGTGAGAATATTAAAAACTGCATATAGAAATCCTTAGCCTCTTATGTTCATTGGAACTTTCCTAAAGTAACTTCCTGTTTAAATGCTGATACCCTTAACCCAGTTATAGTACCAGTACTTTTTTTTAGACTTCAGATGCTTTTTTCTTATGGTAAAGAATGATAGTGAAGAAAAGCCTTCAATTAACTGGGTAGCTGTAAGTTCTCTGGGTTATTTTTTGCAGTTCTTCTTAGTTTAGCTATACCAAGCTTGCATGTCTGTATTTGATCATACATAATGGTGACTTGTTTAAATTGACACCATGCATAATTCTACTGAAAACATGGTTAATAAGTATTGTTTGGCTGATTAATGACAATAGAAGATGTAGTTTGTGTGTCCGTTTAATTATATTGTCTTTGTGGTGGTGAAGTGCATACTGTATCCAAAATGTATACTCCAGAGGTTAATTATTATCAGTTTAGCCAATGTAAGTCATGCAATGGTTAGTCTGCTTTTGAGTAATTTACTGATTTATCATGAACTTTAACAGAGCTTTGTGATAACAGCATGTGGTTGTTTAGTTGTTGGAATACCGTATGATTTTGTTAAACTGCCTCAAAATGATACAGTTGATAACGTAGTATTTTTAATTGAAGTCTTTTTTTATATGCTATACAGTTTTATTTCTAATTGACTTTAGATTGCTGCTGCTTGTACAAACAGTCTTGCTTTCTTTGTACAGACAATGGGATGAGCAGTTGGACCCTCGACTAAATGCAAAGCAGAAAGAGGCTGTTCTGGCTATCACAACTCCACTTTCGATACAACTGCCTCCTGTTCTTATCATCGGTCCCTATGGGACAGGCAAAACGTTCACTCTGGCTCAGGCAGTCAAGCACATACTCCAACAGCAGGATACTAGGTGAGCTGGGACATGAGAGAGAGAGCAACATAGTTTATTAGAAATGAAATGCCTCTTTTTTTACTTAAATGCAAGTGAAAGTTAGAAGTACAGAATTTCCATCCATCTCAAAAAACCCCCATCCATCATTGTTTTGAATAGATATTAAGAAAGTAATGTTATAGTCTTAAAATATATTCTCCCATTTAGAAAAAAAATCAATACAATTGGCATGATGTAGAATAAATGCCATTCACTTGATGTGGAAAGCTGTGGGGTGTGTCAGACAATAAAGGCTGTGTTTTATTTAAGATCTAGGTTAGATTAATAATCACAAAATACTTTTTAAAAGTTGTATTTAAAGTTTAAACCTTTTCCTATCTGAAAAAGTGAGTTAAGGGGCTTCATTGAATTATGAAACTTGGGCTAGGCCAATGACTAGTTTCATTGAGGGAAATGTGCAGGAAGATGGCCACTGTTCCCTTTTTTTGGTATTCTACTGCTTTGAATTGTTTTCTGTTTCTTCATTGCTTTTTTATTTGCACCATTTATTCCAGCAGGATTCTCATTTGCACCCATTCTAATAGTGCTGCTGATCTCTACATAAAGGATTATTTACATCCATATGTAGAAGCAGGCAATCCCCAGGCGAGACCTCTCAGGTATTCTTTAAGGTTTATTATGTCTCTATAAAATACTATTCTTAAGAAAAGATGTCTATAAAAAAAGTTTAAAGAACTGTTAACACTTAAAAGCACATTGGCATGTAACAGCAGTGCTTTAAACAGCGCCGTCTGTTTAAAAGGAATATGGATAAAATGGAAAGTGAAGCATATTGTCAATGTGATTTTGTTTCATGTGTTAAATAAAGATAAAGACATCCTTTTTTAAGCTTTTATTATTTCTATTGATAAATGTGTCTTTCCTAGCTGAGCAAACTTTTGATATGCTCCTCTAAAAGCTACTATGATAAAATAAAATGGAGATTAATTGGATTGTACTTTGAAAAAGATTTTGGCACACCTTTACCATGGTAATTTGGAAACTGGGGCTACTCACATGGCTTTTTGAAGCAATCTCTTGATGTCATAGAAGCTGTATATTTAGAGAATCATGTGAAATTAGTTTGGCCTCTTTTAAAAGGGCAGTTTGAAGTAATTTGTATATGTGAATAAATGTGCTTGACATGGATGTCTTGTGGGAACTAGCTATGGAAAAAATATGGGGAAGAGGTTTTAAACTTACAGTAAGACAATGAGGAGGAATTCAGTTATCGGCAGAGGAAAGTCCTTTGGAAGATTTTGCTAAGTGATCATGCTATATAATATACTGCCAGTGTGGTAGATTTTCATCTAAAAGTGTGGGAATTTATGTGCATGATTCTCTGAGCATCAAGATGTGAATACACCATATTAACTTGCATTTTACCTTACATTAAGTTGCTACTATCTAACTTCTAAACTGTGCAACCTCATTGAAGTCATTAGGGTTGTGCAGAGGGGGCCAGATCCACACCGGGTGTGAATTGTCATAGCTCTGTTGACATCGTTTCAGTTATGACAATTTACACAAGTTGAGAATCTGGCCCAGGGAGTCTAAATAAAGACAGATGCACATATTTATTGTGGTTTCTTTTTTAAAGCTACCTCAGAGGCGACTACACCTTAGGAATGTCTTATAATGCACTTTGTAAAGCACTTTGGGATGAAAGGCATTATATGCATCCTGTACTACTGTTAGTGGGGGATGGAAGGAAATATTCTCCCTCTTTTCAATGACCATATGTAGTCAGTGAAATGTGATTTTAACATTGTAAAAGAGTGCTGTGTGAGTTGTAAGAACATTTGCTTTATGCTATAGGATCCAAATTTTGGCCTCTTTCTGGGCACACGGCTCCGATTCACTTCCCATTCAACTTTCCAGTCCGACTCTCAAAAGTATATGTCAGTTGGTGAAAAAAAATTTATATTTTTTCATGGTAAAGTTAATACATGACTCTTTCAAGAGGCAATTTTATTTTCTTTCAACTGCAATTCAAATATTACTTTTTATAAAAAGTCATTAAACATTTTAATTTGGATATAATTGGCCCTGGGTTTTGATTACTTCAGAAAGTGTTGCTGTAGTTTGTAAGTGAGATTATACAAATAATTATTTTCCTCCTATGGTCATTTCCCACTTTTTAAAAAATGAAAGCAGCACAGATTTTCCCTTTTTTTTTTTGGCGTTTATACATTTCTTGACTTCTTTAAAAACATTTGCTTTTAAAAAGTATTATAGGTTGTTAAGCAGCTAATTGTGAAAATCAGCATAATTAAATAGAAGGGGTGTTATAGCATCGGTAGTTGCACTGGAATGAAAGAGAGAGCTATTCCAGACTCCCAAAATAAAACCAAATTAGTCGTATCACTAAAGTTACTGTCCTTGTCTAAGAGGAGCATGTTTTCTGAGTCACATTCACTACACAGTTGGATATTTAAGAAGCTAGATTGTGAAATCTCTAATCATAGCAGAAGCCAACACTGAAACATCATAAGTGGTTGTGGACTTTCCCCTGGAATTATCTTGCTATCAGGCTGCTGTTCAGTCTGGTAGCCTTAAAATTCCACTCATTCCTCAGGAGTATCTATTTTAAGAGGAGTTCAGTGGAATTCACCCTGGTGGGCAGGAAATTGCCTGCAGTACACATGGAATGTTCTGATGCGAGACTTTATACAGACCATTGTGAATGGTTTAATTTTCAGTTGCTTTGGATACTGATAAGTTTACTTCTTTGGTAGAAGAACATGCATCTTGCTTGACCCATACAAACATAAGGACGACATTCAGCTGTTGTGCTTTGTAAGAAATCAAAAGACTATCTACAATTTTTTGAGGGCTTCTATGCCATGAGTGAGCTTCTATAGCTCAAAAGATGAACACGTTTTTTGGGTGTTTGGCCTTAACGTACATGTGGTGTTAAGAGTTGTAGTAGGCATAAGTACTTGCAGACTAACCTGGGCCGTCCTTACCCATACGCAAAGTACACAGCTGCGTAGGGCACCAGGATATGTGGGGCACCAAATTTCCTGGTGCCCTGCGCAGCTGCGTGCTGCTCCAGCCCCTGCTCCGGCTCTTCCCCAGGGACCCTGCCCCTACTCCGCCCCACCCTGCCTCTTCCCCACCCCAGCCCCGCCTCTTCCAGCCCCGCCCCCACTCCCCTGAGCTCTGCAACAGGGCCGGGGCTGCACTCACTGGCAGCAGGAGTGCAGTGACCCAGACCCAGCCGTGCCGCTGGTGAGTGCTTGGGGATGGTTCCCCCCTGTCCCCTAAGCCAGCCCCCACCCCCGTAGAGGCCTGGGGCCCGCTCCTTCCCCCCCCATGGAGGCCTGGGGCCCACTCCTCATCTCTCCCGCAGCCCCCCCACTCCCCGCCGCAGAGGCCTGTCCCCTCACCCCCCCCATGGGGGGGCTGCGTAGGGCCCCAGAATAGCTAGGGACGGCCCTGAGACTAAGTGCCTGTCAAAGTCAATGCATAAATGCTAAAAATAGTAATGCTGATCGGCTCCCTAAAGTTGTCATTTGCACTTGCATACCCGTGGCATTCAGGTTCCACCTACCGTGCAAACTATGTTTTATTTTAATTTATTTAAACTCTTGGTCTCTGTAGAAAACTGGCCAAATCCCAATGTTCTAAATATATTACACACACATGTTTTTATATTTAATTTTTGCTTGGGGAAATGGGTATTGTGAAAAATAAATTGGCTTAGTGGATAGAGCATTGGACTGGTACTCAGGAAACCTGGTTTCTGTTTCTAACTCTGCCACTAGACTGCTCGATGACATTGGGCAAGTCTTTTCACTTCTGTGCCGTTTCCCCATGTATAAAATGGAGATGATGGTACTTACCTCCTTTGTAAAGTGCTTTGAGATCTACTGATGAAAAGTGCTATATAAGTGCTTGATAGTATTATTAGTTATTGTTGTAGTCTGAAATTGTTGGTGATGAAAAAGATTCCTCTGTTCAGAGGAACATTATACAAATTACCAAGCTATTGTTTGTAGTACCATTGGCTTTTGTTGCACAGTAAATTAGTGTTTTGTTATCCAATTACGTGAACTAGTCTAGCATGCAGTGTGTTGTTCACATCTGATAGCTAAAGATGACTGATTTTTAATAATTGATATGAATCTCTGAGTTAAATGATTGTTAAATGATTGTATTCTTAGACAGTTATTACAGATTATTAAATCAATCTCTGACAGTTTAATAGCTGAATAGTGTCGAAACGGGATGGGACGTATTTCACCATTACCAGTGGGATTTCACCTAGTTTTCTGGTGTGGCAAAAGAATTCTGGGCTATAGCCTCTGAGATGGACTGTTGCCTTTCTGTGGAAACCCTGTGGAGAGGTTTTGCATCCATCAGTGAAGGGGTTGATTAATGCTTACTTTCAGGAGGGCAAGGTGCCAGCAGTTAAGCCCACAAGGTGCCAGCAGTTAAGCCCGCAGTGGTTAGGCCCATACTTAAGAAGCTATCACTTGATATTATTATTCTTGTCAGTTACTGCCCAGTCTTGAATATTTGCTTTTTTGGGGAAGGTTATTGAGACATTTTTGATGAGACAACTTTAGCTTTGACTCTTCATATTTCCTTGAGTTCCTTTCATCTGTTTTTAGAGCTTGGCATGGCACAAAGAAATCATTTTATTTCGTTGGTGGATGATCCCATTCTAGCATTGAGAAAGGTCAAGTGTCTGTACCAAGTATATTGGATCTGTCAGGTGTCTTTTATATTATTGATCATGAGGTGTTTTGTTGATCAGTCTGGATAGGAGGGGCTGTTCTTCAGTCGTTAAGATAATTGCCCCACCAGCAGTACATTTTATGTTTTCATAACTACTCTAATTAGAGTAAAGAAAACTTTGCTTGCTTGCTTTTATTCTGTCTGTCATGATGAAAGTTTTCAATTAAAATCGTTGCCATTAGTTTAAGTAGTGCCATAAGCCTTTTTCTATATTCTAGGAAAATATCAGGTGGAGCAGAATCAGTTAAGTGTCAAGGCAGGAAATGGTACACTTATAGTGATTGATGTGTTTATAGATGACTGAACAGTTTGCTTTAGGTTTTCTTTTATTTGCTATACAAGTGATGAAATGGCTAAATATTATCTTTACTAAGAATGTTTCTGTAGATTAGTTGGGATGACAGTAACATTTATTTTCAAGGAAAAGATGACTTAATATTTGCTAAGCAGTGACACTTGCATAATCATTTTTGTATGCATATATTTTGTGGTTTAGGTTATCTATAAAGTAAATAAATCACTCTATCAATGGTGCAGTGCTTGAAGTTGTAGAATTTTTTAAGTTTTGAATACTCTGCTTTAAATTCAACAACGTTCTCTAATAAAATAATGATTTGGTTATTTATAGCACCTTCAAAGCAAAAATGTAGTAAATACATGATAGTGTGATATGATAAAAAGGATGATTGGAGATGGCTTTATTATTGATGTATAGCGAAGCTTAAGATATTATGTAGATCACCCCAAAGGAGTACAATGAAAACTTTTATTGCACACTATATTATTGTTATTATTATTGTTATTTCTTACTTATTTTGTTTTTTTGTATTTTGGTAATGTCCAAAGACCCCCATCGGTATAGGGTCCCCAGAGT